CCTACTCCCCACTGGCACCTTCCTGGCTTCCTGGTGTCTACAAGCATTGCTACGAGAGCAGCGTCTTCCCCCACCCCCAATTTCTCCTGGCTTTCTGCCTTGGTTCCTAAGAACACTGCTGACCATTTTGTAGGATGTACATGTAGTGTTGTGTCTGTTTGGCCGGTGCAAACCTTACGTGATGGTACTGCCAGTCAGACCAGAGTCTGCAAAGTAAGAGAAGACAAGGGAAGAAATGTTTTACTGTCACACCTTTTCCCCCTAGACCTTTCAGGAAGAATGCGGGAGAGGGAGAGTCCCCTCTGTCTGCCTTCATTCATTGAAGGCAGGCAGCTGCCTAAGGCCACAGGCTGTGTGTAGTAAGTGGAGTCCTTGGCTTCCTGCGCGTGCGGTGGTGTTTGGATGTCCTTAGGTCCAGTGTGTTAGGGATGAGACATCTAGAATATGTTCGGTGAGCTTTCTTCACCTTTTCCATGCAGCTGTAGAATAGAGTCGTTGCTAAACCATAACCAGAGGGCCCTCCTTTGCAATTCTCTCACAGGGAAAGCCGGGAGTCTAATGAATGTGGCCGGTCCTGTCAGGCGTCCAGACCACCCGGTGCTGGGCCACTGACAAAGAGACATTGTTTGCAGCGAGCTTTGCACTCTTCCTGTTCCAGTTAATGATTTAATTACGGCAGGAAGTAAAAAGGATGGGGTAGAGTTGTGAATGGTATCTCAGGGTCAAATCTTCCTTCCTTTAGGAAAATCGGAATATAAAGTAGACATTCTGTAATGGAAAAATGTATTTCAGGTTGCAGTATTTTTTTCTTCCCCCTTCTTGAGTGTAGGTCTGGACCCGAACATGATCTTATACAGTTGAGAGCAGTGTTTCTCCAGCAGCCTGTTGCTTTTCTTCTAAGCCAAGTGGCAGCCACGTTTATTAAGGACACCTTTCATAAACCAACAGGATACTTCAAGTAGAAAGAGAGAGAACATTTCCTTAAAGATTTATTTGCTTTTACTTTTTTTGTGCATTGGTGTCTTGCCTGCATGTTTGTCTGCGTGAGGGTGTCGGAATCCCTGGATCAGGAGTTACAGACAGTTGTGAGCTGCCTTGTGGGTGCTGGGAATTGAGCCCGCGTCTTCTTGAAGAACAGCCAGCGCTCCTAGCCACTGAGCCATCTCTCCAGCCCCATGGGCAGAACATTTTTAATAGCACATGACGATGTTACTTACCGGTGTTATTGGGTGGTGGACCACAATAGGAATGTTGAGCACTGACATTTCACGTGAGGCGTATTGACAATTTCACAGCCAGTCCTGATCCTTTGTGTGTGTGTGTGTGTGTGTGTGTGTGTGAGAGAGAGAGAGAGAGAGAGAGAGAGAGAGAGAGAGAGAGAGAGAGAGAAAATTGTAGTATCTCTTATTTTCTAAATAATCGCTTCTATTCTAAAAATGTTGGGAAAATAACACTGTCCTTTACTACTTGGTTTTTTTGTTTTGTTTTTTGAGACCAGGCAGGCTCACTACACAGCCCGTGCTAGCCTGCAGCTTGTGCTGCTCCCTCAGCAGCCTGAGTGCTGGGATTGCCAGCATTGCTGAGGCTGCCATGTGCCGTCATTTTAACGCCTTCCTTTTTAATACTTGAGTCGCCGTTAGTAGATACGGCGAGAATTTGGACTGTGACCATTGCACAATCAAGTTTAAACCTGCTGCGCCTGTTGCCCAGTTAAGGGACAGGACAGGGTGCTCGGCTGCCACTCCCCGTGAAGGGAAACTGCCGCCGCGGCATCTTACAGCGCCGTGCGCACGAAACTGGGTGGTAGGGGAAGGACCGTTAGTCTCCTCTTGGCTGGTCTTCTTTCTCCTCTGGGGTCCAATGTGGTTTAGGGAGTCTTTTCCCCCAGCACGTTGCCCACTGTTTGAGGCTTGAATGCAATCCATTCTGTTCTGTCTGCTCCGTTGTATTAAGGGCTGTGGACGGCAAAGAACCCCATTTTTTTGTACACTCTGCAAGTCCCAGCCTAGTGCAGAGCCTGTGCGCTCAGGGCAGGTCGGTTGGAGGAAGGCTTAGTTGTGCCCTGGAGTTGGATACCCCACAGTTTTGAGTCTGCATTAGCCCAGCATTTCCGACTCGGTTACGGTGAGCGAAGGGGAAAGTCTGAACGGAGTGTGTGGTAGGTTGCAAATTGTTTCGCATTGTCACTGGGAGAGACGACATGAGGGTGAGCCATGGACTTTAATAATGGTTTTCCTGTCTTGAGGGTTCTGTCTTACAGCGAGGGCTCTCTGCTCCTGCCTTAGAGATACGGTCCTTCAACTTTCCTGGTGGGGCCAGCTCCTTGGCAAGGAGCTTGGAAGCCCCAGGGGATGTGGTGTGGTTTTGATGGCTTCTAAGAGGGGGGCGGGGCTGGCTGGGTGGAAACATTTTCCAAGAAACAGCTCCATTCAGCAAGGGCAACAACAAGTGTCCTGTTCTGTCCTCTAGAGTCTCAGCAAGGGGCCACACGGTCTGCAGGATGCCGTTAGTATCCAGACAGCATGGCACGGGAGGGAATGATTTCATCTGCACTGCTCAGCTCAAGTGGCGGGCACAGCTGCTGGGCCTTGCCTGGAACGTCCTGTGTAAAAAGATTCAGTGCCACAGTGCTCCAGGAAGGCAGCAGCTTGGACAGAATAAGATGCAGGGTAAAGGCCCCGCAGTAGCTTTGGCCTAGCAAGGAGACGCGGGTCCTGAGCTGCGGAGATGGCTCTTGGTGAACCAGTCATCTGCTGCTAGACATTAGTTTTCAGCTGGCGTTGTACTCAGTTGGAGACTCCAGTTGAGCCTGTGGCATAATACGGTTCTGTCCCCCCATCAAACGGCAGGGACTTGAAGTATTTACTTGGGAACTAACTGGTTTGGAAGTAGCTGTGTATTACTTATTCCGTACAAAAACCAAGGGAAAACATTTTGCTTTGTATTAGAGAGACAAAGTTTTTTTTTTTTTTAAAACAAAGCAAGATGGTATCATCAGCTTCTAGTAAGCTTATGTCCTTCATTCTCTGTGTGAATGTAGACATGTAGACATGCACATGTCTGTGTGGGGGTCAGAGGGAAAGCCCGGTGGTGGTGCCCCCGTGGGTGGCGTCCCCGGTGGGTGGCGGCCCCGGTGGGTGGTGCCCCGATAGGTAGCGTCCCCCGTGGGTAGCATCCCCGGTGGGTGGCGTCCCCGTGGGTAGCATCCCCCATGGGTAGCATCCCTGGTGGATGGTGCCCCAGTGGGCGGTGCCCCGTTGGGCGACGTCCCCGGTGGGCGGCGTCCCCCATGGGTAGCATCGGTGGGCGGTGCCGCGGTGGGCGGTGCCGTGGTAGGCGGTGCCGCGGTGGGCGGTGCCCCGGTGGGCGGTGCCCCGGTGGGCGGTGCCCCGGTGGGCGGTGCCCCGGTGGGCGGTGCCCCGGTGGGTAGTGTCCCCCATGGGTAGCATCCCCGGTGGGCGGCGTCCCCCGTGGGTAGCATCGGTGGGCGGTGCCCCGGTGGGCGGTGCCGCGGTGGGCGGTACCCCGGTGGGCGGTGCCCCGGTGGGCGGTGCCGCGGTGGGCGGTGCCCCGGTGGGCGGTGCCGCGGTGGGCGGTGCCGCGGTGGGTAATACTCCTGGTGTGAGCCAGGGCTTCATTGCCACTCTGCACCGGGATAGGTGGCAGCATGGCTTCCTGAGATCCTGCCCTCTATGCTGCCCCTGTAGGCGGGGAGCTAGGACTGCAGATCCTCACACTACAGCATCCAGCTTTTACATGGTTCTGAGATCCAAACTCATGTGCCGACAGCTATACCCTCTGAGCAGTCGCTTCAACCCTTGTTTCACTCTTAAAAAAAAAAAGTTTGAGCATACCCATTTATTTCATCCTAACTTCCTGACCTATTTACTTTTAAATATGCATCAGTTTATTTATTCTTGGCTTTTTGAGTCTGTCCCATTATATTGCCGAGAGTGGCTTCTAACTTGTGGAAATTTTCTGTGTATTTAAGAAGGGAAGACCTGATTTCCTGCCCTGCCAGAGTTTAGGATCTGATTACAGAAGCAGACAGCTTGATAAACGATCAGGGTTCCGTGTGTGCTCAGTACTTAGGTTCTGTTGTAAGCAGATGTTTACTAAGCCTGGGTTTCCGCCCTAAGCGGTGCTCTGGAGATGATCCCGTTAACCAACTGGCAGGCCCACGGCCTGCTTTTAGTCTATAATGGGTGAGGCTGGGCCCGAGGGCCCCCTGGGGACAGACTGTGAGGTAGGGTACTGGAGTCTGTAATGGGGAAGCTACTTGGAAGAGGTGACGTTGTGTTTTCAACATCCTGAGTCCATAAACAGGAGAAGCCCAAACAGAAATGTACAGCAAGCCTCATCTCCTAATAGGTAGAACAGGTGAGATCAATAGATGGGATGAAAAATCAGAAGGGCATTTCCTTTGGACGGAAGACGCTGACTGGTTCCTGGTCTGGTGGCGTGTAGACAGGCATGGGCTTTCGTAAGCAAACGCCTGCAAGAGTTGAGAACTCACGCATGTGGTACTTGTCTTTTTCCTTTAAACACAATTTTGCTTTGCAGCACTGTTTCTCTAGGGTTTAACTACGTGCACATGTCTGGGTGGGTACTCGGAGAGGGCCAGAGACATCAGATCCCGTGGGGGCTGGATTAACAGGCAGTTGCAAGCCATCCTGTGTTCGTGCTAGGAGCTGAACCCGATTCTCCACAAGAACAAGCACGCCATAACAGCAGCCCCAAGAGGCGGTGGTGTTTTTTTTTTTTTTTTTTTTTTTTAGAAGGTAGAGATGGGTGACGAGGCAAAGCCTGCTGAAAGCAGCGGGGAAGCATGGGCTAGTGTGCCCCTCTGGCGGGTCCTTATATGGGCTGCCCTTCCTGGTGCGGCAGGGAAGTTCAGACCCCTACCCTCCGGGACCCCTTATGTCTTGGGACTGGGTTTGTACTGGCTGTCTAGGTGTCTACGGGGACGAATCTGAATTGCACCTGCTCTCTGTGTTTAGGAGTGAGCGAGCCCGCTGGATCACAGCTCTGGGGCACAGCAGCAGCGGGAAGCAGCCGCCAGACCGAACCAGTAAGTTTCCAGGAGGGGCAGCGGCTCTGGAACACGGAGGGGCTCTGCCCCCTGCTGGCCGGCATGGTTACTGACCGGTTACACTCCCCTCATCTCTACCTGCTTAATGAGGCTCCTCCCCGGTGCAGTTGTTAGATAACAGGAAACATTGCTGCTTAGCCTTCCTGAGGTTTATTTTTTTCTTCTCCATCCATGGAGTCGGAGGCATTGGGTTCGCTGCGGGTTATCGTGAGGACTAAGGCAAATTGTAGAGGGTGAAACCCTGCTTGAATCATACAGGGCCTATACCTAGCTGCTATTAATATATGTAGAAAAGCGTGAGGGGTGCGTTTGATTTTCGATTGTTTTGTTTGAGAAAAAGACTTGCTGCATAGCTCTGCCTGGCCCGGTTTCACACTAGTCCAAGCTGGGTTTGAACTCAGTCTTCTGCCTCGGCTTCTGGAATGCTGGGATCGCAGGGTCTGAGCACTGTGTCTGTCTGGTTATAAGTTTTTGGTCTAAAGAAAATTACGTGGGTTTTTTTCCTGACCCTTTTTAGTACAAGTGACAATGTCAAGAAAGTGTTCTTTAGTCTTCTGGTGTCCTGCTAGGCTAATGGTGACGTTCCCTTTCTGGATGACCAGTTGGCAGACTGGAGAATGAGGCGGTTTTTCTGAAGCCAATTAATTGCAGCTTTTGGACTCAAAGCAAAAGTGGTTGGTGTGGCACTCAGTTTTATATTAGAAACAAATAGCGAAGCCGTGCCGGTCAGTTCTGCTGAAGCTGTATCGTTGTTGTTGCAAATTTAGCATTCTGGGTCCTCCCGAGCTAGTTTGGCAAGCTTTTGGCCGGAGCCCTCACTTTTTCCAAGCTTGTCCACAGCCTTTAGTATGTTCCGTTGCTGGTAGGACCAGAGAGCTGTGGACGGAGATCCGGGTGCTGAAGTTTACGACCTTGGCCTGTCACCTCCTCTCTTGCCTCGGTGTCCCCAGCGTGCAGTGGCTGTTGGCCGTGCCGTGCCGTGGGTGACTCCTGACCAAGGCTACGGCTGAGCATATTCACGCACCCTAAGAGGCCTCTGGAACCCAGCTTTTGAAACTCGAAGCTTCGTAACCAAGCGTGAGCTTCTTAAGTAACCTCCCCATGGGAGCCCGGCTCAGTCCGCCAGGGCCAGCCCTAGAGTCATCAGATGAGGGGCTTGGTCGAATGCGTGCTGCTGCTTTGTACCGAGTCTTGTTCCCCAGCCTCCGGAAGCTCTCAGCGTGTCCCCTTCCCTCCGCAGCTCTGACCCAGGTGGAGATCGTTAGATCTTTTACTGCCAAGCAGCCAGATGAACTCTCCCTACAGGTGGCAGATGTGGCCCTCATCTATCAGCGTGTGGGCGACGGTGAGTAGGAGTATTCCCGTAGGCGCTGGGCATGGACTGGCACTCGCAAAGCCTCGGGTCCACGGAGTTTGATTTTGGTCCTCGACACCCGTATTCCGTAACCCGACCCTGGGATGCTTCAGCTGCTCTATCCGGTCCCAAACCGGAAGCTCCCCCGGAGCCCTGATGGCTCCTACAAGTCATCCATTTGAAAACCCTTACCTGGCCCTTGTCTTCTGCGTCTTCCGTTTCTCCTCCACGGTGACGTTTGATGCGAGGTGCCGTCACCATGGAGTTTCTTTTTCTTCCCACTCCTGCAGTCACCTAGTTCTCAACTTTTCCGCCCTCCTCCCTTACTTAAAAAGGAAAGGGTTCCCTGCTGCTCATGCCCAGTGGATTCCCTGCCCGAGCTCAGCCAGTCAGTTCGCACTGTCTCAGCCTCCTCCCTTCCAAGCTTTTTGCTGTCCTGTCCAATCTCTGGTGGTCGCTCATCCTCTCTTGAAACCTTGTCCTGTTCTCCGCCTCAAGTATTTTGACCTTAACGGGGAATCCGTTGCACTAAAGTTTCTCCTTTCCTGTCACCCATGGTAGCCCAACCCACGGGAAGAAAAGCCACCTCTGTGAATGGGGCATCTCTTATTCAGAGTGCGCCGGCACGATGGGATTCCCCAGACACGTCTTGCCTGATTGCAACCTGCTTTTCCTTGCAGGCTGGTATGAAGGGGAGAGACTTCGAGACGGGGAGAGGGGATGGTTTCCCATGGAGTGTGCAAAAGAGATAACCTGCCAGGCTACTATCGATAAGAACGTGGAGAGGATGGGACGTTTGCTAGGACTGGAAACCAACGTGTAACCTCTTGGATGGCCAACGGAATGAATGCGGGCCGGTCTTCCCATTATGACGGTCTGCTTAACTGAGGGAACTTTTGGAAACCCGTGCCTGTAAGCTTGCCAACTTGTTCTGTGCTCTCGGAAGAACAGGTGCAGTTAGTCCACAGAGCTCAGTTTTTGCATAAGGATGCTCCTGAAACCTCTTCAGGCCCACTCAACAAGTCCTGGTTCCCTTACTTCCATCCATGGTGTTACGTAAGACGCTGTATTTTGGCTTCTCTGTCTTCGTTTTACCTACAACATTACTCTCCTCCCACCCCCACCCCCCTTAAGTACCGCAGCATCGGCAAGTTTGCCTGTAAGGAGTGTCCATTTTGTGAATACTTTTTGTGTCTTAGCCTAACGCTGTTAATTCCCAGAGGAGCTAATAAGAGTTTAGTGGGTAAGCTGCCGTGTTTTGTAAACCTCTTTCTGCGAAAGGGGGATTGATTGACACTTGAACTTTGCCGTCATTTTCCTCGTTGGAAGGAAAGTGAGGAGCCACCCGGTGAGGAGTTTTCGAAATCTGTCTCATTCAGTATCGGTCCTAGGTAGCGTTAGCTTAATACACCCGAGCTACTAAGACGACATGGGCCTTACAGTTCACACGCGGGAGGGCATCCGGAAGACCGGACATTACGGGCCAGCTGCTAGAGAGCTGACGTTAAGACTGCTGCTTTGCCTTCGGTAGCGGGCGGCTCCTGATGGCTCTACTCGTTTTCAGGCAGAAAGTGGCTGCAGCACACGTTAGCAATCTTAAGGAAGAAAAGGGAGGTTAGAGAGCATCAAGAGGCCAAGGTTACGGTATGCCAGAGTTCATCCCACAGTAAGGAAGTTTTCAAAGACTGGCTGGAGACGTAGTTTCATCGGGTAGCTGTGACCCTCTCTATTTCTGTTCACCAAGTAAAAACTAAGCATGCATTGCGGGAGGGCTCAGATCTTTGTCCTGTGTCCATGCCCCTGTCTAAACAGCACCTAACCCGCAAGGGCCCAGAAGCCCAGGGTGTAGGTGTGCTCGCCTCTGACCCTTCAACCCATCCACCGCAGCAGTAAGCCAGAGTAGACATCCCCGGGGCTTTCTCTCTCCACCTTTGATTTGCTTCCTCTTGCCTCTATATGTATTCCTTGCAAAAGATATTCCAGGCCAGCCGGGCGTTGGTGGCGCACGCCTTTAATCCCAGCACTCGGGAGGCAGAGGCAGGCGGATCTCTGTGAGTTCGAGACCAACCTGGTCAACAGAGCGAGCTTTCCAGGACAGCCTCTAAAACAATACAGAGAAACCCTGTCTCGAAAAACCTATATATATATTCCAGGCCCCAAATTCTTGGAGGTATAAGTAAGTGTGTGAATGAAGCCATAGCGGTGGCCCACAGCAAGGGATGTCCTAAGAGTATAAAACAGGGAATGTCTCTCCTCCTCAGTAATGTCACAAACAGTTTTTAGGAGAAATGCTAACAAACTGTAGCTTAATCTAATGCCATGTTTTACTTTAGGATGAAGGTGTTGCTTGCAAGAGGAATCATTTTGTATTATTTTTTGCTAATACCGATTTGGGGCTATAAAGTAACACTGTGGATCCTGTGAATTAATTTATAAGTGTTAAACAGTGTGGAAATATATGAACCCTTTAAGTCAAGCAGCTGAACACTGCTATTAAGATGTCTCTGTGTAGCAGGTATTTAACAATCACAGTGTTTCATTTCTATTGTGATTGGTTTTAATTTGACACCTTTTTTTTTTTCAAAACTACTTTAAATGCCTTCTTTGAAATGTACAGTGACTTCACACCTGCAAAACTGAAATGTTACTTTTGTTCCAATAAATTGAAACTGCTTGTACACTTTCAACAAAGCTTGTGAATTATAAAGATTTTACATACACTTGTCTTCCTGTGCTGGCATGGTTTAATTTACTCTTGGTGTGAAGTTATGGTTTGGGGGGGTTTGTGGTTATGGTTTGCGGGGGGGGGGGGGGGGGGTTGTGGTTAAACCAAAGCTGTACTGAGTAGGATATCAACAGCCAGCATTTCAGAAGGTTCCTCTTGTCTCTTGGGTATGTTGTTAGTATCAGATACCTTAGGAAACAGGTGCTTTTGAGAATTGGGTCCTACTGTGTCTGTGCTTAGGAGACTATGCCGTCTAGTAAATCACGGTGGAAGAAGACATCCAAACCCTTCTGTGTTGTTTTTCCCGTTACAGCGTAAGATTGTCACAAAAAGAGCGACTTAAGCAAGGCTCACTCAGTGTCTGTGTAGAGTCTCCCACTTGAAAACTCAGATGTCCTGGGTGCTTGGATCCTAGGGCTCTCCTGTCTCAGAGGCTGGGACTGTCACACGACCCTTCGTCCTCAAGGCAGCAACAGATGCTTACTTCTGTCATTTGGAATTTACCTCCCTGCTCTGCTCTGCCATTTGAGGGAGAAGACTCTTCTTTAAAGGACTCAGGGTGACATTTAGGCTCATGGAATAATTCCCTCAGTGGTTAACTCAAGATAGATTTGTTTTCCTAAGTAGGCAAATAAATGTTTCAGAGTTAAAACGAGTTCTGCTTTTGGTTAGGTCTCTACATTTCCTCGGATGTTCAACGTAAAACTGTGTATGATGTCAACAACAGGGAGGGGGCAGTTAGCAGAGTCGCCTGAAAACCCTGCCTCTGTCACACACCATAAGACCCCAAAGTTCTAGATACTTCCAGCTTCCTTGAATAGTGTGATGTTGGGGAAGTCCTGTGCATTTGTCAATAAAGTACTGTCTGGCCAATAGGGAATCTAGATAGGAGGGACTAGGAGTCCAGGAGGACTCTGGGTAGGAGAAACACGAGGAGTTCGAGATGTAACGCCATGGGGTAGGATCCCGGAACTATTCTCCGGTAAGAGACATACTTAGATTAACAATTATGGGGTAATTACTTAAAGCAGAGCTAGCCAGTAAGAGACAAGCAAGGCCAACAGCTTCATAATTAATATAGCCTCCTGTGTGTTTATTTGGGACTGATGCGGATCTGGAACCAGGCGGGCGGGAAGGCTCCTCTCAAGGAAAGCTTCTCTTAACAGTGTGAGAGTAAACATCCATGAGATCTGTCTGCACTACGGTTCAGCGGTCTGAGGCATCTTTGTTATATTTCTACTTCTGACTTTCATTAGATGAAGAGGTGGGTATATCATTTCTAGTAAGCAGCAGAACGCAGCATCCTCTGCTCCATCACTCCGGGGCTTTGGGAGGCTGCAGAGAAGCTGAGCCACTCTGATTGGTAGCTTAAGAATTCAGGTCAGAGTGTAGTATGTGCCATAATAACTTCTGAGGATGGAGTCCCTCGGGGACTTATTCTGGAGTGGGAATATGAGCCTGGCGCAAACACACACCACCTAATCTCAGTTATTTCTATGAGCAAGTGGTCATAGGTTCAGCAAAGACTCAGAGACGTGGCATTGTGGCACAAATAACCAGCCCAGGCACTCTGGATGCTAAAATAATCAGGCCACACCAGTATTCATAAATGCTTTTTGTAGAGGTAATGCCACACTTTAAAATGGAAGAGATCTATAACAACTACAGAAATGTAACAGAAAGAAACACAATTAGAAATTAGATAGTCATCGGACTACGCAGTTAAACAAGATCCCAGGGAATTGGAAGAGAGGCTAGAAGAAACTACAAGGAATCGTGGAGGCAATAGCCACGGAGATTCCAAGGATTCCTTAGAATGGAGTCCCAGAGGAGGGACAGAGGAAGGGTGGATTGCCAGAGAGGACGGAGAAGGTGATCTGGCCAGTCTAGGAAGCAAGCAGCACTGGGAATGGAGAATGGACTTGGCTGCAGGGGATCGGATCCTTCCAGCTGAGCATGGTTCTCGATGAAGGAAGTTTAACACTCTTAGCACCTACACGAATAACAACTTTTGGCCAGAATGTCACAGCATTCAGTGTGTGTACATTCAGCATCAGATAAATAACCTTTATGACTAAAATGATCTGCCTAAAGATAATGCCTGCATTTCAATGAAGGTTGAATTTAGCCAAGGGAATAAAATAATTTAGATGTATATTCTACCAACCATATGGTCTCAAAACATAAGTAGAAGTTAGAGAAATGTAAATCAGCATTATAGCATAAACTATACCAATGTATCCTAGTATTATTTCATTAGAGAAGGATCCATAAAAAAGCACAGATTTGATGACAATGTACTAGACATAGGACACCCTGCAAAAACTTCATCATATGCCTTCAAGTGGACATTTGCAGTTGACCCTTAGACCCAAATGTGAAATGCAAAGCTTTTTAACTTCTTCAGATATCATAAAAGAAACTTCAGGTGACCTTGATTTTGGTAATAAAGACAACATCAGAGATATAATATGCAAAAGAAAACTTGGTAAACTGAAAAATCTTTTCCTAAAAATCTCCAGTGATGAAGCTGGCAGCTGCATCGCTGATAAGAGAAATGCCTCCCGATGATACTCTGCAATGCTCATGGGCCAGTGCCTTGTTCAGTCATCACCAGAGAGGCTCCCTCCTACAGCAGATGGGAACAGATACAGAGACCACAGCCAGAGATTACACAGAGAGTAAGGGACCTTGGGACACTCAGTGCTAAATGGGATGTCTCCATCACATCCTCTCCTCTCTCCCCCAGGGAACTCTCCGGGAGAGAAGGCAGCCAGAGGGGACAGAGGATATAAAGAAGGCAAGACCCTCCAAATGTACTTGACTAAAGCTTTTGTAAACCCCAGAGACCAAAGCTGCAAGCACGGTCTGCACAGGTCTGCAGCGTGTCCTCTGCGTATGTAAACTTCTAGTGTAATGTTTTGGTGAGATTTCCAAGAATGTGTATGAGTGGGGCTCTGATTCTTGTGCTTTCTCCTAGGCTCTTTCTGACTATCTCGTCCAACTTTGATGTGATGGTTTTTTATCTTATATTTATTTTTATTTTACATATTTGTTTATATATTTTATTTTGTTGTATGTTTTAAAAAATGAATGAATGGATGACTGGACACCTAGCTATTAGGTTAAAGATTAACAACTGAACTGTCACACCTGCTGGGATAGAGGAAGTCAGTTTTCTCCAAATGAGTGACATTGTGTATATCAACCACTGCAGGCCAGGCTTCAAGCTCAGTAGTTGACTAACATATAATGGATTCTGCAGGTTTGTGTGTGTGTGTTATTGATGTTGTTGTTAATTTGGTGGGTTTTGTTGTTCATTTTGTTGGGGGGTTATTCTATTATTTTGGTTTGGGGGGATATTGTTATACTGGTGTTTTGTTTGTTTTAGAAGGGATTTGGGTGGGTGCAGAGGAGAGGATCTGGAAGGTTTTGGAGGGGAAAGAATATGATCAAAATATAATTAATATTAAAATTGTTTTAATGAAATGTAAATAAGAAAGGGGGTATTCATCTGAATATACAAGGAACTCAAATTTTAATTCAAAGATCAGAAATGATCTCAACTTTAAACAACGGCAGAGATCTGGATAGCTCACCAGAGCTCACATAGAACATAAGCCTATGAAAAGACATCTGAATGTCAGAGCTGCAGACTATCAGTATCGTCAGACACACTGAATGACTAAAAGGGGGCCAGCACAGTTGTGGAACCCAATAATCCCATTCTCAGCACTGGAGATGCAGACAAGTGGATCTCTCTGAGAGCAAGGAAAACTCTACTAACCCCAAACAGAGATGAGGAAGCAAAAACAGGAACTCCTACTGCTGGTGGAAATGCAGTAACCTCCTGGGAATGCAGCTTGGCAGTTCCTGACAGAATCAAACATCCCTACCATATGATCCCACAATCACAGGCCTTGGGTTTTATCCAAGTGAGTTGAAAACATGTCCACATTCATTAAAAAAAAAAAACTATAAATGTTTATAGCAGCTGTTTCCACAATCACCAAAACTTGAAGGCTCAGTAAGTGAATGGATAAGCTATTGCAGCCATCCGTTTCTATCTTAAAGGAAAACAATTGACGTCTGAACTGAAAATTAAAAAGAGAGAAATGATATTCTAGGAGGCCGACTGGAAGCTATGGCAAGGGATAAGCACAGAAATATGGAAAATATAGTCAGCCCTTCAACACCAAGGCGCTGCATAGTTTTATGTCAGCTTGACACAAGCTAGAGTCACTTGAAAGAAGGGAACCTCAGTTGAAGAAAACGCTGCTGTAAAGTCCAGCTGCAGGGTTATTTTCCTAGTGATTGATGGGGGAAGGCCCAACCCATTGTGGATAGTTCCATCCCTGGATTCTATAAGAAAGCAGACTGCACAAGCCATGGGGAGCAAGCTAGTAAGCAGCACCTCTCCGTGGTCTCTCCCTCCAGGATCCTGCTCTCTGTGAGTTCCTGTTCTGACCTCCTTCAGCGATGGACTACAGTGTTGGGTCACAAGCAAAAGAACCCTTTTCCTCCCTAACTTGCTTTTGGCCATGGTGTTTCATCACAGCAATAGTAATCCTAGCTAAGTCAACCACCATGGTAAATCTCTCCAGTTGGAAGTGTCAGTTTTAACATCCCCAGTCCTTACCCACTAAAGCAAGCTCATCACAGGAGCCACCAGAAGATGCCATAGTATAGCATTCTATGCTAGCATGATCCTACTAGTTTTCAATTTAATGCTCTACATTTCTTTGTACTTTGAAACCTTAGTCTAAGTTTTGGTAAATTTTAACTTTTATATTAGATTTGTACATAGTTTGATAATTATGTATATCTATGTTATGCATTGACATACCTTTTTTTTTTAAAATAAAACTTACAAAAGTTCTAGGTTATAAAATGTACACCCTTTTCAAATTAAATCTTCCCGGTGCCCTGACCCTCCAAGATAGGTCAGTGAATTCATCAAATTCTTCACACCCATGCTGTTCAAGGGTCAGCAATAAAGAATGCCTAGAAAAGGTCCTCCAAAGCTCTACTGCACAAAAGCTCTACAGAATGACTTGCCTATCCACGTTGCCTTTGTTTTCACAAAGATGCCACTCCTTCCATCCTGAAATTAACCTAAGAAGTCCTGACGTGAGTCAATTTTAAGAACTAGAAAGTCAGTTGAGAAGACGTCCGTTCCCTCACCCAGCAGGGCTGGCTGGACCCCTTTCACAGTGCAGACTGGTTGCGGGATACTTCCAAGCAGTCACTCTCACGGTGTTCTCAACACCCAGTTATGTTCTCAGGCCCTTATGGTTGGTGCCATTTCCTCCTGGCACATAGGACCGTTTCTAAGGTCAAGAAACAAGCACTAATAGCATACCTGTCTAAAGTGACTAATCCTCTCCCTACACAGGAGTACTTTAAAACCCATCATTTGATGTGAGGTGAAGAAGCAAAACACTCCATGGAAAAGGCAAAGAAGCAACTACGCACATGGAAAGATGCCCATTGCTAATCATAGGAGCAAAAATGAAATAGACCACTTGACTCAATGTGAAAAAAAATCACACTAAAAACCAATGGAAAACAAGTACAAACAAGACATAAAGCAAGCAGAAGTGGCAATAGCCACCCGAGGGAAGGTTCGTCGTTTCTTAGAGACACACTGTAGCAGGCAGCTGGAGAGATGACTCAGTTATCTGAGTAAGGGTTAAGAGCCCTTACAGAAGACCAGAGTTCAGTTCCCAGCACCCACATGGCATCTCACAATAACTGTGGTTTCAGCTCCAAGGATATTTCAGCAGCCAAGGATATTTGCATACATGGGATGCATACAAGCTTACATCAGCACATAGGCGCATATATATACACATGAATCAAAATAAAAGTCTTAAAAAAAGAAGACACACTTTACCATCTGATGCAACCATCTTAATCCAGGATATTTACACAGCAGGTGGGGAAAACACAGAATCGCATGACAACTGTGCACACATTTAGAGCAGCTTTATTCATTACCAGCAAAAACGCTGAAAACGCGTGAAATGACCGCCAAGCGGTAAATGGATACAATCACATAATCATAAGGGAGAATACTAAACAGTAAAAATCAGTAATAGGTACAGGAAGTATACATATGTTATCTTGCTGCCTTATATGAAGTGAAAGAGGGTGGTCGCACAGACTGTGTGACGCCATTATTGGAAATCCTAGGAAAGGCGAAAACCACTGATGGTCACTGGGGGCCGCAGGGCAGAAGCACGGTAAGGACAACGTTGCCTGCAAAAGCGACAAGGGGAAATTTCACGTTGATGGTAATGTTCTTCATCAAGGCGGGGTTGGCCGCATCGTCTTATACAGAAGATAAAATACACTGAGACTATACTCTTAAATTGGTTAATTATCTGCAATGCCCTAAAGCTTAAAGAAGGTATGGAAATATATCAAAAACTAACAATGGTAACATGACCTTTGCTGGATACATTTTTCAAATATTCTCCAGTCAACATTTTTTTTTAAAAATCAGAAAAATGCTGTTTAACAAAAAGGATTATTACAAATATATGGATATATAACATAATTATAGTCACTTAAGAATAAATACAATCACAGTGCTGAGAATGAGGGGAAATACGCCATCATTTACTTAGTCTGGGTGCGCAGATACTGAAATAATTTTAAAGTAGACTTTGTTTTTACCAATGCAGCAAAACACAGTTGCGATTGACTTAAAATTATCTAGAGCTTTTTTCCCAGTTAACTAGGAAGGCATGATATGCTCTCAGAGCAGTATGCAGCCGTAATTTCATTTCTTCTAGCAAGTTCCAGGGTTTTTGTTTTTTTTCTGACTTATTCTCTGGTGTACAAAGTGAGAAAACACACAGGCTTTCCTTCTTGGTGACCTATTTTTTAAGACCACTATAGAACACATCACTTTGGGGCCTGGGATGCGTTGTCCGTTAGCAGTCCTAGAGTGTCAGCAGGGTCTTCAGAGCGCCTGCAGCTCACCTTCTACTCTGCCTGGCTGTGGCAGACACGTCGACGAGCGGTAGAAACTCCACACTCATCTTTGTGAGTTGCTCACCCGGAAACAGTTCTGAAGCATGCTTCCGTTGCTGTGAAGATTCAATACTGGCTTGAAACACACCTTGACTTGAGGGGCAAAACTAATATGCTGTAGAACTGACGTAACTATTACCATCCGTGAGTTCAGGGAAAGACGTACTTTTGGTGAGACAATCCACAAGAACAAATTTAGGACAGCGTAGTCTCAAATCTTTGTACACAGCGCCAGGTGACATACACTCAGACATGGGAGCAGCAGCTGAACCAGTGCAGTCAGCAAATCCATGGCCATAGTGTGCACGTACCCTGGTCATCTCATCATTTTTGAGGGAAATAGGACCAAATTCCAGTATCTTACAATGAGAAAAACAACAGCACTAAGCCAGTGTTAGGGGCTCCAACAAGAAACCAAGAAGTGCGTTGGAGCAGTAAAAACCTGGTCACTCTAACAAGCCAGGAACAGCACGCTCTGTCAGACCCCATCAAGAGTGTAAAGATGCATAGGAGTGGTGTTTTATAGGCTGGGGATGCGGCTCAGTAATCCAGCACTTTGTCTATCGTGCGTGAGGCCCTTGGCTGAATCATCTCCAGGATCACCAGTATAAAAAATAAATGGGAGATTACTAGATGTTAAATCTATTTCATGGACAACAGTAGCAAAGCCTAGGGATTCTCTGCATCAGACACTAGTGTGGGGTCCTCTACACACATTAGCATGTCTATTCCTGACAACCTTCACCTGTCCTTCAGCTAAGGAAGAGTCTGAGCCGGGACAGAACCCCCGTCACATCCAGACATGTGCTCGGTTGCTACACTGTGCTACACAGGACAGTAAGGTGGTATAAGAACACTTTTAAAAAGTTAAAAAACAAAACAAAAAGAGCAACTAAGTGAAATTAGTGATAAGCAGAACCTTAGAAAACAAACCAAGAAGTTAGCTGAGATTTACACATTGTACATTTTATTAAATACTGGGCTTTATTACAACAAATTTACTCATAATAGAAGTTCATTTAAAAAAATGTGGTTGTATTCAAATTCTTACTTCACACTACTTTTTGGCCAAACATTCTATTTTTACTGTCTCTAGACAGTCACTATGGACAGAAAATTAATTTTGCATAATAGCATAAAGGACTTTCTCAATGTTACAACATGTAATACATGGAAGAAGAATTCTCCCAGAGCGTGGACATCTCTACAACAGAGTATGTGATCAGAGAGCATACTGCTTTTCCCAGTGTCTTTACAGGAGCTTTGACGACACTGTTTAAACATGCACATAACTCTTTACTACCCACTGAAAATTTCTATCTTACACAAAAAGTGATTCATAACCCAAGGCTTGACATTTTGACAAAAACTAAAAACAAAACAAAAAAAGAGAGCGAGAAACATGGGCGTCAGGATGAGTTCCAGGCCATCATGGAGAGCTGTCAGCTGTAATATCCCTCCTGTGACCGTGGTGGCAAGTTCCTCGGGACGGCCTTTTCCTGTGTTTTGATCAAGTCTAGAATAGCGGACAGTACCGCGCAGTCTCTGGACTTAGTATCGTTCCAGTCTACTGGATGAGGGCGCTCAATCTTCTCTTGCAAAAGGCTGTCCAGTTCTTTCCTTAGCCCCTAAGGTTGAAAGAAGCAAACATGCTCATCAGGGATGATGAACTTTAGAGACTGTCAAACACAAATGTGACTTTAGTGGTGAAAAGGATTTTCCTAAGCTATTAGGAAGAAGAGTAAAATACCCGCAGTGCAACCAACTAAAAGTATGGTTAAAAGACTCAAACTTTAATCCTTGGAAGTCTTTGGAAGATTATATTACTACATCGGAAAGAATTTGGAAAACTAAAATTGGTCAGTACTACTGAGTATCTTGCAATAGAGCAAAAACATTCTTTTAAAAATCATTTATTTATCTCGGGCCATGATGTGTGCTCCGAGGACAATGCAGCACTTTGGGTCTGGGCTCAGCTGATTTACATGCTGAGCCAGTCATCTGTGGCCCCAAGACCACATTTTCACTTGCATGCAAACTTGCAGACAACCATTAGTATCAATCACCTTAACAAGATGGGCAATTCTTTCTGGGGACTGAAACACAATCCATTCATCCACAGCAATAACTTCCTGGCCATTGTCTTTCTGGATAGAAATATCTCCCCCAAAGAACAGCAGGCAGTATGGTGAAACTTCTGTACAGTCGTACAAGTAAATCTGTAAAGAGATTAGAGGTAAGTAAGTGATGAGTAAGCAGGGAAGGACTGCCACCACATCAACTCAATGTCCCAGACACTGATCTTTCCAAAATATGCATTAGCTCACTAATGTGACTCTGAAGATTAATTTCGAAGAAATAACATTTTAAGCGAACCATTCTTAATTCCTAGAGATTTTATATTTCTGTTCTAAAGTATATGATTTCCCTTGAATATGTTCTGAATGTCAAAACTAATGAACATCAATAAAGCTAAAGGTATTTTATCTGATATATCAACACATAAAAAATAGAATCCCACTTACTATTCTGAACACTACTAAACTTATTATGTAGAAGGATATGGTCATACCAAGAAATCTTTACACAGTGCAAACTCCTGATAGCACTTCTTGAAAGCAGGTTCTCAAGAAAAACCACCCACATCAAGTAACTAATTGCTTGATGAAATGTACAAAAAAACACATCAATTATAGAAAAAAACCTATAATTTATCTCAGAAAAAAATAGAATTTTTTGTTTTTGGTTTTTTGAGGCAGAGTTTCTCTGTATTGCTTTGGAGCCTGTCCTGGAACTCTCTTTGTAGACCAGGTTGGCTTCAAACTCACAGAGATCCACCTGCCTCTGCCTCCCAAATGCTGAGATTAAAGGTGTGCGTCACCTCCGCCGGGCCCAAAAATAGAATGTCTAAAGTATAGAATTATAAAGCTGTGATGAGGACATCCAGGTTTACAGTTATGTTAAGTGTCCACTCACACTGCTTGTCCTCATCTTCAGGTGGTAGATGAGCCAGTTGTAGTGGAAGTCAGTCTGCTCCACATTGACAGACTTCGGGTGGATAGAAACCAGACCGTCACATTTTGTGTGGACTTTTACCCTGTAAAAAAGTTACAATACAGTTAATAAGTGTCTTAAGGGATCTTTTCCCCCCTAATTACTATAAAAAATTATTTTGAAAAAATAATAGGTAGCTTACGAAGGGCAAAAAGGAAGCATGTGGAGTGATTAGGGAGATTATTCTGAGAGAACAGTCTACACTTCACTAGGACCAGCACCCTCAACCTATATAGCAACTGTGAAATAATCAACTAAAAGCTTTCCCAGAAAAACACAAAATTAACAATTAAAATACTTTTGAAGAGAATTCTGCTAAGACTGATTTTTAAATTTCTTTCACTTGTGTATGAGAGTTTTTGCTGCATGTGTATGTGTGCAGCACATGTGTGCTTAGTACCCATAGAGGCCAGAAGAGGACACCGGATCTCTAAGACTGGAGCTACAGGCAGAAGTGAGTGGCCGTGTGGGTGCTGGGAACAGACCCTAGGTCATACGGAAGAACAGACAGTGCTCTAACTGCTGAGCCACCTCTTCAGCCCCTTTAACATGTTTTCAAGTGTTTTCCATTCACTCAAATTTCTCAATTTCAAAATACCTATATTTGGAATGGATATGCTTTGGATTCTTGGAGAGTTTTCCTTTTTATTACAGTGATTTATCTTGTGTGGGGAAGGAGTCACGTGTGATGGTGAGGTGACAACTAGGACCACTCTCTCCCTTTGCCATGTTAGTTTCAGGGATGGGGTACAGAACTCAGGATGTCAGGCTTGGCAACAAGTGCCTGCCTACTAATCCGTCACTATCATAAATCGGGGAACTATGAAGCAGAAAAATTCCTCACTTATCTCCAACTGGTACTAAGGCTATGTGGACATAGGTTCCACTTCTCTAAAGAGTGAAATTACAGTTTTATTCAAATCCGTGTAACAAAATATCCTGTTTTACAAGGAAGAGGAAAACAAAAATGTGCGCATGCGCACACACACACTGAGCAAAATCTAGTCTAGTCAATTTCTCCTCTGGCATTGTCTCTCACACTGCTTGGTCAGTCTTTAACGTTTATAGAAGTTCCATGTTTTCTAACTTGCTTTGTAAATGCGTATCAGACAAGTGACTAAATCTGTGTTATGAGGGACAATTTCCTATGCGCAATCATCCCTATGCATCTAAATCATCAGACATGCAAAAAATTCCAGCACCATAAGCTGAAAATATATTTCAGAGCTGCAAGTAGTCATAACAATCTTCAATGCTTACATTTTTCTTTTTTTACCCAAATTTAGTCGGATTTTAGCAACTTTGGGATATAAACCAGCACAGATGACAGCTTTAATTATCTTCTCATTATCTATTGGGAATAGGAAAGAAGAGGGAGGGAGAAAAGTGAACCACTGAGACAGTGACTTACACTGCTGGCGTGTGCGCACATGTGCGCATGCGTGTGCTGCTTTACCTGAATTTATATTAGCTTTTGGATCCTTAGGACTTCTACTGCTTACAAATCCAGCTCCAAGAAGATGCTCAGCAAACTGTCCCTTCATGTTATGCAGCATCTAGAGGGTAGTGGTAACAAGAGATAGAAAGTCTTCACGCACAAAGCCTGTGAATCACATGCACCTCAGTTTAGCTTTCAGCTTCTCCTGCCTCACAAAAACACTGGCACACAAATGTGATGCATTTAAGACAGATTTCTTCTTAATTATATGTATGTGTGTATTCCATGTGAGTCCCAGTGCCTGTGGAGGCCCTAAAGCTTCAGACTGACTTACAGCTGGAGCTACCGTAGTTAAGAGCCACAACACATGTTCTGGAAACCAACTTGGGTCCTCTGCAGCAAGAACTTTTAACTGTTGAGCTCTTTCCACCTCAGCTCTTAAATGTGATCATTTAAGGAGAGAGCTGGTAAAGCACAAAAACCACTTTGTGTAAATAAATTTTATTAGAACACAACTACATTCTGTCTATTCTTTGTTGCTGCTTTTGTACTCTAATAACAGAGATGAGTGCTTTTGAAGATACATAGCCTGCAGCCTAAATTATTATTTGGTTGGGGGGGTGACAAGAAAAACTGTATAAGGGGAACAACCACTAATGTTTAAAAATTAATCCACTTTTCAAGACACATGAGTTTTGGAACTGCTCTTTACTCTGTTGTTAAAAACAAGAAGAAACAACAAAAAAACCAAAGCAATTCCAAGATTAGCTACTGTTAACATACTGGCACAAGAGTATGTTTCTTAAGAGAAACCATGAGTTAAGCAGAAATGATGGCAGGCTCAGGATAGCGAAAGAAAAGTGTTCCCCACCTTGGTTATCTGCATAATTGGTAATACTGTACACATTCACTATGCATACACACCAAAGGGGGAACCAGAAAGAAGCATACTTAAGATGAGATCTGATTTGTTTTGTTTCTTACTTTTGTTAACTGGGTTTTTGAAGCAGAATTTCATATAGCCCAGGGTGGCCTCACATTGAGTATCTGAGGCTGGCCCTGAGTTCCTGATCGTCTCCGTGTCTTTACCTCCTGAGTGCTGGGATTACAGGTGTGCTGCACCACCTCCACCTTGAGATTGGCCTTCAAAATCATAAAGCTGTTTTCATCCAAGCACTGTGGTACAAATCTGTAATCTAAAGCATCTGCGAGGCTGAGACAGAAGAACTAGGAGCCCCAGGACAGCTCAGCTACAAGCAAGACCATTCAAAAACAAATTTTTATAAAGTGGAACTAACGTTTGTTCAAATTCAAGAAGTTCCACAGAAATGAAAATGAATGATCCCAATGAATCTGTTTTACAAGCATAGAAATGTTTTCTAAGAATTCCTTCAGGGTTAACAAAGAGATTATAATACATAAAACTGGTTACATGCAAGTGTTTCTTGTAGCAAAAGATGTAGCTTGTTTCCTCGTATAAGTCCTCTTCTAAAAGCGCATGACAGATAGCAGCCCCATCCTCCTGGTCATCTCAGCATTCTAATTTCAGGGAAATCACCTTTGCCTACAGTCCCACTGTGTAGCTCCTTCACGACCGAGTGTTCCTTTTATAGCTAAACAATTCCAACACTGTCAATCCTGGGATGCAGCTCCACTGGTAAAATCTTCACTGATTCCTCTTCAGTGACTGTATTCGGGAACTCAGAGAAGAGCAGTTCTTGGGTGCCTGTCCTTTGTCATGCACTTGACAAGTAACCTGGAGTTAGCCATCTTTCCATAACAAAGCACCTTTCATTTCTCCATCTCAGAGGACGGTCACTGAGAAGAGCCTGGGTGAGTCTCCCCTACAAGATTCCTAGGCAGTGAGACCCACTGAGCCGATGACCAGTCTGGTCCTTAATATTAGTTATCACTTGAATTTTATGGTTTCCAGCTGCATCCATATCACGAAAGCCCAGAGCTTACCTTTATACCTATAATCAGCTTTCTATAAGTGTCTGTTTTGTTGTGCTCGTTGGTCTTTAGTTTGGTTTATTAGCAGCCCCTAGTCCCCACCCCCTTAAAGTTCACTCTTACCATCTTGTCTTCTTTTCTTTGTTTTGCTGAGTGAATCATCTTTTCAGTAACCCTGTACTATGAAACAGTTGCTAAGGTATTTCTATTGAAATATACTATTTCCTTCGTATTTTTGGGCCATTGTTGTCCTATCATTTTTCATTCTGCTGATAACTGGACATTTTTTTATTACAATGTTAATTTCTTGACACACACATATAGTCTTTGTATGTAGCTAATTTTACGACAGATATAACTGGACAAAGTGGAAGCATATGTACTAATCTAGTACACATGACTAGTGCAAATCTTCCAGTATTACCTGCAGCGTGTTTGAAGACAGAAAGTACTCCCAGCAGTAGTCTTTCTCATGTCTGAAACCACGCCGCTTCGCTTCCTCCCAACCCTATTGGACAAAGAAATGACAAAACTCACTCACACAGTGCTCCACACCAAAGACTGCTCAGCAGTTTCCACCTTTACTAACAGTTTAATTCACTCATGTGCCATGTTCTCTGCAAAATGTCAAAGAACTTTTAAACACGTGACAAAAGGTCCCAAGTTCTTTACCATCCCAGTACCCAACAATGCTACTGGCGTAACATACTGTGTATTTTACACAAAATCTTTCCATTGTATATCAAGTATTCATCAAAAAAGAATACTAATAAATAAATTTCAATGTTATCATACATTTCCAATTTCAAAATCAGGGTTTTCTCAAGAAGAATAAGAAAAGAGGGCTGAGTGTTTAAGAGCACTGGATGGTTTTCCAGAGGTCCCGAGTTCAATCCCAGGAGTCATACGGTGGCTCACAACCATCTGTAATGAGACCTGATGCCCTATCTGACCTGCAGGCACATATACTCATACACATAAAATAACTAAATGAATAAATAAATATTTAAAAGAAGAAGGGGGGGCTTGTCAGCAAGCTGGCTCAGTAAGTAAGTGCTTGCACCCCAGCCTGACAACCAGAGTTAGATTCCTTCATCCCTACACTGTGAAAGGGGAGATGGAGCTCTTATTACAAGCTGCCCTGACTGTACTATATACACGCTGTAACATGTGTACCAACATCACCCACCCCCAAAAATAAATAAACTAAAGAAGGAAAAGGAAACAGGGAAAGACAGATTACATGAGTTCTGGTCAAGCCAGATCCTGCATACCCTTTATGAGGATCTAGCTAGGTGAGCCCATCTGGCCTTGCCACTCCCCCCCATGCCCTTCTCAAACCCCTGGATTGAGCACAGGTGCCATGGCCCAATGCCCTGGCCTAGTTTGGCGACCACTCTTCGTGTGGCCCCCAACCTCCAGATTCCAGGAGAGACATACCCACCATCAACCTGCAGACTCCAGGAGAGACATACCCACCATCAACCTGCAGGCCCCATATGCGCCAGGGTCTAGTCTGTGAGTCTGCCCAATTCTTCCCTCTATGCACCTTCTCTGACACCCAGATCTACACCAAAACTCCAGGCCTGGGCTGGGACACACATCCTGCACTCCAGCCCAGTCCCCAGTTGTCAACCCAACTTAATTCCACCTAAGGCCCCAACCTTCAGGCCCCAGCTAACCTTCATATCTTGTTTACTGCCTCAACATTCTCTGCCCATATCAGACACATTACCACCAAAAGAAGTCCACATGCCTATATCTCATCACAAAAAACACAATATGAAAGATCAAGGCAGTATCTTGTCCCTCAAATCCACTAGTCCTATAGAACCACTTGTCCAAGAGAATTACCTACATGAACCCTGGACACAGAATTTAATAATTACAAATATCAAAGCACTCAAGGAACATAAAGACACAAGGAAAGAGAATGAATACTTGAGTGATTCCTAAGAAAACACAAACAAGGCTGATGGAAACGACAAAGACAATCCAGGACTTAAAAAAAGTATTCAACAGATAGATGGGAACACCGTCTCAGACCGAAGGTATACTGAAAACCCAATAGCCCCACCAGCAAACCCGAAGGAAAGCCTTAAAAGCAGAATGAATCAAGAAGAAAACAGAGCGGCCAGAAGACAAAAAGTAGGATATAGAACAAATAAACAAAGGATATGAAAAAACATTAAAAGCACAAAAAGCAACATGCAGGAAATGTGACACCACAGAAAGATCAGACCTGGGAACTATAGGAAAGGATTCAGGAGAAGAATCCCAGGGCAGCTGCAAAAAGCAGGTCCTTAGCAAGATTACAGAAGGAAACTTCCCCAAAATGAGGACAGGCACACCCACACAGACCCAACAAGCACACGAACACCAAATATACAAGACTAGCAAAGAAAATCCCTACAGCACATCATAGTTAAAATACTAAGTATACAGAACAAAGAAATTGTACTGAAAGCAGCATGAGAAAAAAATGGAATTCACTTATAAAGGGAAGCCCTTCAGAATGACAGCTGTTTTCTCAGGGGGAACTTTGAAAGTCAGGAGCCTGGAGCAGCAATACAGTCCAAGCTCTAAAAGATTAGCGAATCTAGACTAACACACCCAACAAAGCTAATCACCATAGTTGAAGAAGGAAAAACGTTGCACGACATCAACAGCCTAATAAAAAATGATACTGAGCAGACTAAATCTGTTGGACTGACAGAGAAGTAAGCACAGCCAAGAGAAATCACGAAAGCAAAAAAAAGCACAACACCATCAAAAACTAACAACACAACAACTGTAATCAACATATACCTTTCAATAACAACCTTAAATATTAAACTATGCTAATGGAATTAAAGACAAAGACTAACATCGATTCAATACCAGTAGGTGATTTCAATACCCCACTTTTTCCAATTGATAAGTTATTTGGACAAAGAAAAACTAAGCAGAAAAACATCAGAATTAAATAAGGGACTGAACAGAATGAATGATCTACCCAAACACCATAGAATGTACATTCTACTTATAACAGCACATGGAAGCTTCTCTAAAACAGACCACATCCTAAGACACGAAACAAATCTTGACAAACTCAGAAATACAGAAATAACTTCATGAATTCTATCTGACAACCATGTTATCAAACTTAAAAATGAATGATGAAGGAGTCAGAGAATCAAAAATTTCCTAGAATCAAATGAAAACATAATATAACAAAACCTCTGGACACATGAAAAGCAGTCCTATAAGAAAAAATTACAGCTCTATGAGAGTACTTTAAAAAAAAATCTGAGCACAATCAAATGACTTGATGAAACACAAAGTTTGAAAAACTAAAAGCCAATTCCAACTGATGGCAAGAAAAAAAAAATCAGAGCCAACATTATAAAATGAAGTAGTAACAAAACAATATGAAGAACCAACAAATCTAAGAGATAGCTCTTTGAAAAGATAAAATTAAACAGATCATAACAAATGAGGATGTACAAACCCAGTAATAAAAAGCTGTCCAGGTCAGGAGAAGTCCAGGCCGAGATGGATTCACAGCAGAAGTCTACTAGACTTCTAAAGACAATCTATAGTCTCCTTAAACCATTAAAAATACAGAACCACAATGAGTATTCCCAAACTCCTTCTATAAAATCAGTTTCACTCTAATGCCCAAACCAAGTAAAGATTCAACAACAAAAAGAAAAATACAGGTCAATATCCCTGATGAACAGTCTCAAAAATACTCAGTAAAATACTGGCAAGCAAAATAAAGACACACATAAAAAAGATTACACCCCATGACCAAGTTGGCTTTATCCCTGGAATACAGGGATAATTCAACATATATAAGTCAAATAATGGATCAAAGACTTAAATGTGAACCCTGAAACTGTTAGAAGGAAACACAGGCAGTGTCCTACAGGACACAAGTGTTGGAAAGGACTTTCTGAATCGGACCCGATTTACTCAGGAACTGAGGCCAACAACTGACAAGTGAGACCTCATAAAAATTAAAAACTGCAATTTAAAATTATATGTGGTATACTTAATTGGAGTATTATTTAAAAAGGAGGGTAAAATAACAGTAATAACAACAGTCAGTAGGTCATAAGGAATTGTTATTTTCTATCTAAAATTACATATAATATATACAAGCCTGTGTAAACATATACATATACATATACATATACAAGTACAGTCTAGATAAAATTTCCCATATGGGAAAACAAAAGTTTTCCTTAGGAGCCATAGTCTAACAAAATCCCCAATACTGAGCATAAGAAACACCCCTTTGAGTTACTGGTTAAGGTCGCCCAAGAAACTTTCAAGACAGGCTATTGCTGGGTGGCCTCTAGGGACTGAAGGCAACCATGTACTTTGGACACAGAACCCAGGAGACTGCAACAGGTTCTGGCCTGAAAGCCTCCTCCCTGAGGGCTAGCTTTCATGGCATTACAAAGTGCTATGCAAGGTTCGTTCCAAGGGAGAGGAGTAAACAACAATTCTGCCCAGCTATGATGCTTGTGAACTAAAACAATGAACAGCACGGCACATATCCCTAAGGTTGCGATAGCGGCATTCAGACCTTGGTTGTAACCAATGCTATCTAACTGGACTTAATATCTGATCCACAAGGGGGAAAACATGCCTGCCAGCTACTGGAAACCTAGCCAGTGAAGTCATGGGTCCTAGAGGAGAACCTACAACACCTCTCCAGTATAATTCCCAACTATATTCTAAGTATTTATCCTTATACCCACAAAGTGTAGGTCTCATCAAAGAAAAGTCTCTTGTAAGCAGAGACCAATACAGAAAATCACAACCAATCCAACGGAGAAAACAAAAGATGGTGTGCCGCCCAATCCCAGCTGATAAATCTACAAAACAAAATCTGCATCTACAGCTAAGAGATCATAGCAGAAGAGGGAGGAAGATTATAAGAGCCACAAGAAGAGGAAATTTGCTGTGTGATTTTATCTCCTAGAAATTGCAGAGAAACTATGTCTATGAAGTCTCATCAAGGTTGCCTAAATAACAACTGAGCATGGAAGACACCCACAGAGAAACATGGAAAGGTAAAATCTCAAAGGTCCCCAAGCCCTAGACCAACACCTACAGGCAACTAAGGAACGCGGGAGAGTGGGGGAAATAGTCTTCCCCAGTGAAAAGTCCCCAATTGCTTATCCAATACAAGTGGTCAGTCCTAAAAATCACGTATGTACAAGTAACTATGTAACCTGAGGTTGTATTTACACACACACTCTATACACACATGTACATGATTTTGATATTCCATCAAAAGGCTGCACCGCTGACTGTAAGAGCAGAGTCTTAACAGACAAAGACACAAAGAACATTGCATATGAAAACGAGACAAAGGGGTCCTGGGCTTCAGTCTTACTGTTTACATAAGCCTTTCCCCCAAAGATAAAAAAGGAACTCCTGTACAACAGAGGAAGTTCAACAAATTCTAACCATTTCTCCACAATGTATTCCTAAGACATAAATATGGTCACTTACAGGTATTTTAAAATATGCTCTTGAATAATGTTTTACAAGCACAACAAGGTTTTCCCTCACCTCAAATGCATTCACAACTGTCAGGTGATCACTTCTAGTTTCCTTTGCCAACTCCTTTCTTCTTGCATCTGCAATCTTTTCTTTTCCCTAAAAAAAAAAAAAAAAAACAGTTATAGCTTAAGTGTTTCTGACATAATAATAATGATGAACATTTTACTGAAATTATAATGAAAAATACACGTGAGCAGTAAATAATTTTAGCATTAAATCCCAGCGTCTTTTCTGTCTGTCTTACCAGTGGAATGACAAAGGGATCTTTAAAGCTGAGACTGGCAGCAATAGTGAGCACTGGATCTAAGCAACAGAATAAAGCCCCGAACAGAATCATTTTTCCAATATGAGGCTCAACAGGTAATCGGGCTAAATGGACGCCAAGAGGTGTCAATTCTTCTTGTTTATCCAGAGCACTCTGAAAGGGAAGAAGATGCTTTTACAGTAGGCCTAGTAAAACACTCCATCAGAAGCTACTGTAGCTAGCTGTAAACACACAGGCTTATTCTCTTAAGCCCCAAATGCCAAGCATTGTTTTAGATGCCTTCAACAAAATCATAAATTCTAATGTCAGCAAAGGTAGTGACTTATTCAAACCAACACAATTAATCTACAACTTGGAAATGTTATGTCAGAAATAAAGAAAAACAATCACTGTGGTAAAGCAGTTATAAAACGGCAACAAGTGGGTGCAATGCACAGTCCCTAGTCTAGTTTAGGTGCCACGATGCAGAAAGAGGTGAGGGGCAGACACAGAAATGACTTCTCTTCCAATTCTCTGTGTAATCTGGTTCAAATGAGGGCAGCTAGGAAAGTATCCTGAGGACACCAAGGAAACATAAGGGCATGGTTGGATAATTAACAGTGCTATTTTAAGCAGTTTATTATTTTAAAAGCCTACCTCAGTGTTACAAAATCCGAATTCTTAAAAAAGTATCTGCATGGACAGCTCCAAACCTGTGATATACATAAAACATGCCTTTGGCACCCTCCAACCTAGTGTTAGCCAACATGACTTTGTGGATAAACAAAAATAGTCTTTCTGTATGTGGTCTAGTACAGTACAGAGAGATGCTGTAAAACATGTGTGAGTATGACTGAGGTTATGAATTTCTAGTTGACTCATAATTGAAATCACCACATACAGCTGCAAATAGTAGTGTTCAGCACTTTTCATACTACAGTGGCAATTAATTCATGGCCAATCCTGTACCCCTCCACATGGTCCCATGGAGGAATGACTGTCAACTACAGTCACTTTCTCATAGCATAAAAATGAAATAACAAAACCAGAAAAGTCTGTTCTATGGAAATAAGTTATCATGGTGAATGACAGCTCAAGAATTATTAAAGCATCATAGAGACAAGACACTTGTTTATATATATTTCAAGACATAAGGGCTGCCTCTATCAAATGTCCATACTACCATTAAAATATTTGAATTTGAGAAGAGAGCATTATGATAAGAGTAGAATAAGCCAACCCAGTTCAAGAATACATATGAAGATCACTAAAGAAAAATTTCAAGATTTATGTAATTTTAAATCAATCTTGCAATGAACAAGACTTGTATATTAAAAACACGAGAGAAGTGTCATATCAAATCTACTCTGGAGTCATAAAAACTGTAAAGTAGCCAGTGTACATACTGTAGCATGCTAAATCCAAACACAAGAATCAAAATTACCAGTTCCATTAGGTGTTTTATGGAGAGCAATACTGCCTCATTTGATGGTGGATCCATTAACCTACTCAGAAAATAAGCAATTCCACCTAGCCTTAAAATCTGTGGAGACAAATACAGTTAAACATGGATCAAAAAGATGTAAAAACATGTACTCAAGAGCTTATATAACATTTTCTAACCGCAAATTAACTAGTGAGAAAAGTGATCAGATTAAAAGTCTCAACAAGCTGATTACAGATTACCTTAGAAATAGGGTTAGTTGTGTACACACTCTCCCTCTCTCTCTCTCTCCCTCCCCCCCCCCCCCCCCTCTAACATTTGAAGATATAACAGCTAGCCAGGCCTGGCAGGACAGACTATGATGCTGGCGACTCAGCAAGCTGAAGTAGCATGATCAACAATTCAAGGCCAAGGTCAGCTTGAGCCAATTACTAAGACCATCTCAAGGTGTTAAAAAAAAAAAAAGAGGAGGGGGCTTTGAGAATGGAGTTAGTTTAAGGGTAGAGAGCTTGTCTAGCATAAAGCTGTGGCTTCAATCCTCTGATCCATAAAAGTTAAGTAACAGTAGCTAACATTTACTGACAATTCTATGCTCAACAAGGTTTTAAGAATTTTATACAGGAATCTTACATTAAGTAAAAAAATCTGCTCAACGAAGCAGAACAAAGTTTCCAAGTAGAAAGTGAGAGTCAAAGACAGGTCCCCTGATCCTAATATTGACAACTGTTTGATATATATCAGAAGGAAGTTCAAGGAGTTTGTTTCTTCATTCAAGTAAAGTGAAGTTCATAAAAAGAATTCCTTTTTGTAGGGTCATACTATACTTTCTTCTATTAAAAATGTTGAAAATTATAATACCACCCTCCATTTAGTTTGTTAATTCTCCCAACTAATATACCTTTATTTGCAAACAAAGTTCTTCCAAAGGAGTTCTCAAAATCTCTGGTAGTTGGTAGTCATCTAGAAGGCTGGCTCGGAGGCCATTATACAGATGATAACAATGACCAGGCTGAACTCTTAAAAAGGAAAAAAGCATTAACAAGAATGTGACTTTTAGAATGCAAAAGGAGAAACAGGAAGAGAAAATACCCAGCATCCATTTCTCACAGCCTGTTACACACATAATTATTATTTCATGCTGCAAAACCCTATTTCCTTCCTGTCTATTTGGAAAGACCCTAAACCCATGGTCCAAATTTTACTTTGTTTTTGCTGTTCTGATTCCTTTCCTTTTTTAAACATTACTTTTCTTTCAATCACTATATCAATAACTTTAAGTACAGTATAATATATATGAGCATTGATTAGACCAGTCCATTTGCATTTGTTACCTACGCCTTCAAGCGCCTCTCTTAGTCCTTGTGAAGTATGAAACATGTTACTCTGGAGTATGCTTGTCCTTCTGTACTACAGAATGCTAGAACTCACTCCCAGGCCTTTTGGTAGCTCTTCTGTTCCAGTTTCAGAAAGCAAAGGAAGACATTGCCATCCACAATTTGGTTCCTATTTCTGCAACTTCTCTGACCTCACTCAAACTACAGCAATCTACTCTGGTCAGGGTTAGAGCTATAACACTAAATATACCTTGGAAACATCCTTTATAACAAACCCTACACTATGTTAGACTGCGTTTATTAAAAAATGTATTTAAATGTATTCTACTTAGTGAGCTCTCAGACATCAGAAACTCTTTTTTTTTTTTTTTTTTTTTGTGGTTTTTCGAGACAGGGTTTCTCTGTATTGTTTTGGACCATGTCCTGGAACTCACTCTGTAGACCAGGCTGGTCTCGAACTCACAGAGATCCGCCTGCCTCTGCCTCCTCTTTTATGTTTGTGATTTGGTGCCACAACTGACTTGACAGAATTCATGTATTTCTAAACAGAATAATATTCAAAAGGCTCTCACCTCTGTAGAGTAAGAGTTCTAAAACTTTCAGGGTTTTTTGTTGTTGTTCTGCCTAAGTCTACACAGACTCAGTACCTATTATCTAACATTTTTCTGGTGTTACAGACCTAATAACTTTCACCTCATAGAAACTAACCATATTTCCAAAGTGGACCATATGATAGAGTACTTTTTTGTTTGTCTGGTTTCTGGTTTCCAAAATAACCATCAATCTAATCAGGCTTTGAGAAATATCAACTTCACAATACAAGAACCTGTGTGGAAATTAGGTTAGATGGAGACAAACTGTAAAGACTATAGCAAGGAAGACAGCTTTATAGACTGAACCCACATTTACAACAAAGGGACATAAGGGCCAATGAAGTTCTCTTTAACTTTCCTTTGCTAACATGAGTCCATATGTAAGACTGGTGACTTTTTATTTACTCATTTTTGCAACACCTGACATTTTCTGTCATCAACGTGACTACAGAACGAATCAAGATGAAGCAATAAGCACAACTATGTGCAAAGCTCGAGGCAAACGCTGCTCTCATCACTGAACAGACGCTCTCATCATTCTCACTGCTTCACCAGCGGGGAAGGGCGCTTCTCTTGTGTTTTCACTGGAGACTGATGGTCAGAATCAGTACTGCCTAAAAGGACAGTGGCCAGAAGCCCAGACTGTGGAGCCAGGCTGCTAGGATTCAAATTCCGCCTCTACTATGTACAAAGCTCTGGGACTATGAATGAGTTATTTAATTTCTCTATAATTCAATTTCCTTATTCTTAAAACATGCAGTTGATACCTCAGCTATGAGGTAAGAATTAAGCATACACAGCATTTAGGAGAGGAGGTAGCACCCAGTTACTATCAGGTAATGCATGCGTTAAGGACGCGGAAAAAAAACTGTATGCAACTAATGCAGGTTATTAATTTTAATTAACTAGATGATAGGTTGTTGGAGAAAACATTCATAAAATAAAAACCTGGTAGATAATTTTTCAAAAAGTATAAATAAAACTATTTTCTTATTTTAAAAAAGTGTTGTAATAGGTAGGCATGGGAAAATGCAAATGCAAACTACACTGAGATCCCATCTCACCTCCTCCTAACATCAGAGCAGGTTTTATCACAATAGCCAAGACACACCATCAGACTAACTCAACAGATGAGCTGATGAAGAAAATGTGGTACAAATATATACAATAGAATTTGAACCACTGTAAAGATGAAAATGATGATACCTGCAGGAAAATGTTAAGTCAGCCACTCAGGCAGACAAATACCAAATGCTCACTCCTATGCAGAACCTACATGTAAACGTGTATATACACATGAGTTAGTCAGACGATGGTCAGATAGGCAGGTGGATGGTCATATGAAAATATAAGAGATACGAGTAGGAAGAAAAGTCTAAATGCAGAAGGCAGGGGAAAGAGGGTGTATATTACATGGGAAAGGCACTATCCAAGTAAAGGAAAGGACAAGGGGAAGTAAAGCGTACAGTTGTATAAAAATCTTACAAGCTTATTTTTTTATATGCCAATTAAAAATCAAACACTGACAGCTCCAAAAATGTTATGAGTAAGACTTCTACATCACAGCACTGATTTGCTCACACAACTGCTCCCAGGCTCCCCAGGCCAGCGACAGCGTTTCCATCTTACCTTCCCGCTCTGCCTTTCCTCTGCTTCGCATTAGCTTTACTGACCCACTCGGCAGACATGGTACTGATGTTGTTCTGTGTGTCAAAGTGTGTCTCTTTAATTTTTCCTCCGTCTATTACATAAACCACATCATCTATGGTGATGCTGTTTGGGAAATAGATACAAGAAATATCAGAAGTACATCAAGAGGACTATTAACTTACACCAAGCCTATAGATGGGTTTATAACATTCGTAAGTATTTTTAAAACGCTTTTTACTGGGTCCAATGGGACTCAGTAGCTCAGGACTCTCACTGCTCCTCTCATTCTTCAGTGTTACAGGAGTCAAGCGCCTACAATGGCGGCATCAGGGCTGTAGGACAAGGGTCCCATTACTTGCTGCCTCCTCACAGACCCACAGCCATGTTCTTAGCATCTCCATCTCCTTATGAGAGCCCTAAAGGACCTGGGTTAAACAGCAGCTTCTATAAGACAATTTGTTTCAGCAACTGAGCTATATGTATCTCCAAAAAGCATTAAAAATATTTAAGGCTACACGTAGTTAATTATAAAATCATATTATCCCTAAGCAGAGAACAAACAAAAGGGCTAAACCTACATCAGCTCCCACGATTCTTTAGAGACATTTTGAAAAACAACATTTTTTATTTTTTTGTTTTTGATGTTTTTCAAGACAGGGTTTCTCTGTGTAGCTTTGTAGACCAGGCTGACCTCGAACTCCAAGAGACCCGCCTGCCTCTGCCTCCTGAATGCTGGGATAAAAGGTGTGGGCCCAGTGAAAAAGGTCTACTTTGAAAAAGAGAACTAGTAACAGTAGGAACAGCTTAAAAAAAAAAACACAAAACTACAGCTTATATTTGCCACTATGAGTAATGTTAAAACATGATTAAAAAAAATGAATTATAAAGTATCTTATAGAGAACAAAGGTTTAACTATATTAACAATATATGGGGCTCAAAACTTATATAAGCTTCAATAGCTGATATTTAAAATAGTTTTTACCTAGTCTCTGCAATGTTTGTAGCAATTACTATTTTCCGAACGCCGGGAGGAGTTTTTTTGAATACCTGTAAGAATAAATACATCAACAGTATACTAATTACTGACATATCTTTACAATGCTACTTTTTGAGACTGTGTGATCAATTTTAGCATTTGCTTATTTAATAATGCATGTTCCCGTTTACAGGTCTATCAATAGCAAACACATTTTCAACATGATAAAACCCTCCTTTGGTAAATCAGCTCCCACAGATGTCACAAGTGTATCACACAAGAGGCAGAGTCACAACAACTTTCAGCACATCTATAACAAAAGCTGGAGAGCATAGAGTAAAGGGAAACAGCTTTAACTGAGGACAAACCTACTAGGTCAGGGTCAAAGACAGAAGAACCTCCTATCAGACACACTTCTTCAAAGACAGACAGAAGAACCTCCTATCAGACACACTTCTGCCAGTTCCACAATGACAAGAGTTCTCTCTTCCCATTCTTTGCCACCACATGGCCTTCTTCTTCTCACACAACAGGCTGAGTCCTCCCTCCCATCAGATTATCACCACACAGATTGAAAAAGAAAGAATAGAAAACTAGAACAAAGCCGGGCTTTGGTGGTGCACGCCTTTAATCCCAGCACTCGGGAGGCAGAGGCAGGCGGATCTCTGTGAGTTCGAGGCCGGGCTGGACCGACAGCCTCCAAAACAATACAGAGAAATCCTGTCTTGTAAAAACCAAAAAAAAAAAAAAAAAAAAAGAATAGAAAACTGGAACGAAAGAAAGGTACATTTTGATCTACTTCATTTCATTCTACAAAGGTCTGAAGACACTGTCGTACCAGAAACTATCATTCTCATTAAGGAAATCCTAGATCTGACGGAGCCAGAACAGTTGTAAAATATTATAGGTAAAACAGGAAATCTGTTATCATTCTAATTGTGAGATCAAAACCTCAAACACCAATAAACACTACACACTAACTTCTAGGTTGGACTTTTTTAGTGGTATTCACATACTTTTTTCTTTAATTAAGGAAACTTAAACAAGTTACTGATGAAGTCCTTCTTTAAACTTAGTAACTAGCAAAACTAATCTGATTGGTAATTTATCCTAGTTAAGTTTTTGTAAACCATCCTCCAAAGAAATGGTCCTTTGTATTTTTTAACATGCGTCACTACTTAGCAAACCCCTGAAAACACACATATACTTTAAATGAAACTTTATCATCTGGGATGACAATGCTCCCCTTGCCCCCACCCCCAGAGGCATAGACTATGCAATGAAAACTTCAGCAGTGGGTCTTAGAAAACCCCCTTTTTGTTTGAGTTGCCGGTCAGATCAGGGCTGTCTAAGAGATGTCCCCAAACACAGGCTTTGCTATTGCCCTTGGCTTTCTCCCAATGACTGAAGTAGATTCCTATTGCTGAAGACACCATGTACTTCATACACAGAACCTAGAGGATCACAGCCGGCTCGGACCTGAAAGCCTCCTCCCTGACAACTAGCTTTCACAGTACCAGAAGGCACCATCCAGCTTCCAAGGGAGGAAAGAAACCAATAGTTCTACCCAATTATGATGCCTACAAATAGTGACTAGTGTGGCACACCTTGCTAGTAACTAACAAACAGCTCTCCAATTGGACTTAATGTCTAATCAACAATAGGGAAAACATGCCAAACTTGCCAAGTACTCAGGAACAATGAAGTCACGGATCTTAGAGGAAAATCTACAACTGCCTCCTAATTAAACCAGTATAATTCTGAACTACATTCTAAATATTTATGCTTTTACCCACAGGGAAGTATAGGTCTCACTCCCTATCATTTATTTGCAACAGAGACTATTACCAAATCCACAACCAATCAAAAGATAGAGAACAAGAAACTTTGTGCTACACAGTCCCAACTGTTAAATCTACAACACAACTCTTGCCCCTAAGGTTCAGAGATCATAGCAGAAGATGGGGTGGAAAGAGTCAGAGGAATGGAAGGCTGGCTGTGAATTTCATCTCCTAGAAATGTCGAAGCAGCAACACCTCTGAGGTCTCATCAGCATGACTGCCTAGCAAGACCTGATGAAGGACAGCATCAAAGGGGAAAGGCCTTGAGGCCTCAACCCTAGAAAGAGAACCACAGGCAACCAAGGAATGCTGAGAGCAGGAGAAATAGCCTTCCTCAGAGAACAGCACACCAGTTGATTCACCAAGTGGTCAGTTCTAAAAATCACATACATATAAAGCAATAAATAGTATGCAAACTCAGCAGGCCATATTTATATATTTAAGAATGTATGTGCACGCACGCGCACACACACACACACACACACACACACACACACACACACACACACACAAGAACACAGAAACAGAGGTCATGAATTTGAAGGAGCAGTTTATATGCGGTACAGAATAAGGGCTGGAGGAAGGAAAAGGAAGGAGGTGGGAACAATGAGGATACACTTTAATTTCAAAAACAGACAAAACATAGCAAGCAGTTGTAAAGTTTGCCTCAATCCAAGACTGAAAACAAATTTAAGAACATACCTGTGTCTGGTTTACTGTAGGCATCAGTGAATGTAAAGGTATAATAATAAACTTATCTGAAAATTAAAAAATAAATTAAATTATTGATCCATTAAACATGTACGGCACATGTACGGAACAATATAAGCACTTGTTTATCAATTCTTTTCAAGATTCAAACTTTTCCTATTAATGTGTGTGTCTCTCTGGGTGTATATGACGTATGTATGGGTGCCTGTGAAGGCCAGAAGACTGAGCTGTGTGCCCCGGGAACTAAAGTCCGAGGCAGCTATCAGCCACCTGAGGTGGAGCAGTGGGAGCTGAGCTCGGATCCTCTGGAAAGCAGCGAGCGCTCCTAACCACTGAGCCAAGACTCCAGCCCCTGCCCACATCCTTACAATTTATAGTGCTGGGAGTCACCACTCTAAATCACATCCCTACGAGGCCAGCAACTGCACCCTACTACTAATAAAACCTCCACTGTGTGTGTGTGTGGGGGGGGGGGGGGGGATGAAAGTCCCTGAATGCCAATGTTATAATCTGAAAGCTCAATCTCATTAAGGAAGCTCAGAGAAGGGGTAAAATAATACTCATAAAACTAAAAAGTTTCATGATGTATGATCTTCACTTATAACTCAGGACTTCTAAAAACATTCAGTTTCTTAAAATAAAAAACCCAACAAGCTTAGACCACCAAATCCTATGCCAATGTAGTTCCATTACTAATAACTTCTTCAAATAAAAAAGGGGAGCAGACAATATATATTACACGAACTCAAGTAGCAGTCTTGGATTATAGTATAATACATTATAGAATACCTGATTTAAACATCACTTGTGACATCAAGAGATCATGTAAAGTGCTGATATTGTCCCAGCCTGGTAGAAAGACCAGTATTGCACCATCCTATATAGACAGGAAATCACTATAAGAGGCCCACATCAATAACCACACCAACATCAATTCTATACACACTTAAATACCCACTAAAATTAAAGAAGCTTTGAATTTTAGTTACTATTTATATGAATACAGATCCCCTTGAAAATTCAGAGTTATAATCCAGAGATAATTTTTCAGTCTTTTTTAAAGAAGTTAAATGTTTAAACATGTTATTTGAGGTTTCCTTCTAGTCCACTTTTTAAAAAGCATTTAGGAAAGTGAGTTTTTCATGGCTTTGATACATTAGTAAAATTAAAAACTGAATTGCTTAAAGAAAAACTAAACAAAACTAACCTCTTCTTCCAAAACAATGTATCGAATAAGGGCAGCAATCAAATTCAGATCAACTTTATCATCATCCATCCTTTCCAAAACATCCACGGTACTTGCAGAGTATCTACCAAGATTACACAGAAAGTCATGAAACGCTTGGTAATTTTTCTGTGGCTTAATCAGCTATAAAACCTTAAAGTTAACTCAGTCCGCATATGAACAACAATCTACAGATAAGAGAAAATTAACATTATTGGGATAATAAATAACGGGTAAGCCAAATCAGCAGTGTGCAGCTAGACTGAGATTCTCTCACGTCAAGCACACTCTCGGCTCCGCCATCCAACCACACACTCACCTCGTCCGCAGTTCCTTTATATAAAGCGGCCAGCGTTCTTTATAGATGGCCTCCTTCTCTTCCTTTTCCTGTCTGTTTACATGGCCCTGCATGAAACCCCTCTTGAACTGGGATCTATGTTCTTTTTGCTCTGGAGCATATCTAAAATATAAAGAGTATTATGTATTTCCCCACATTTGAAACATTATGGCTTTAAGAATATGACTTTTTACACTAGAGATTTCAAACCAGATTCTAAAGAATATTTTCACTATACTTTCCAGCAAATGTTACCCAAAATATTAACTCACTTTGTTAACACTAAAACTTCACATTTAAGATAAAAAGTATTCCCTACCAAAGTATATAAAATCTATATGCCATCTAAACAATCTAAATGAAAAATGATTTCTGAGATAACTTTCATCTTTAATTTTAAGCTTACTCCAAAATAAATTTTAATACAAGGTCTAAGTAAGACTTTTAATGACAGCTTAAGAGAACAACTTGGACTTTGAGAGTTTTTCCAAACCAAGCTGTGCAGAGAGTAAGAGCATAGAAAGTAAGATTTCTAAATGCCAGCAGTATTTCAACCCAAGGACTTGAAATTTCACACACTCCATGCGTATCAGATCCATGCTAGAAACTGCATAGTTCTGCTGTCACAGTTACAGCAAAAGGGAGAGCCAGTATGCGTCCTGTCTAGTGACACAGGGACACCATGGTGCTACACATACAGTCTGTTTTCGTAACAAAGGAAGTACACATGTCCAGGAAGTATTCGCTGGCATCGTGAGCTCTGAGAAAGAGCGGGAACAGGTGCTTTAACCCCAAAGGCTCTCAGACTTCGGAGGACAGCGTCTAGATGGACCGGGGAGGGTGAAAGAGTCAGATGGAGACCAGCTGTGGTCTTGTGGAAGGACTGGACTCCCAGGCTCCAGTCAGACTCACACACTTCATACTCCTCCACACACTAGCGTGAGAAGCTAAAAGGTGATAAAGTGCCTGGCATACAGTAAAGAATAAAATGTGGGAATCACCTTCCTCTTCAGACCATTGGCCAGGGTCTCCCTATGTCTTTAATACACACAAAGGCACCAACGTGAGGCTGACAAAGATCCCCATCAGAAGCGGAAGCAAGAGCTGGTTCTCTTCCCAGTGACGTCACACCATCAGAGGTAACCTCCAACGGCCCTCACGGTGCAGTCACGGCCGTCCCCACCCTTCCGTCTTCTTCACCTGGCCTTTGATTCTTTCCTCCTGTTTCCCTACCGGGCTCCCTTCTCATGGAAGGACACAACCTGGGCTTAAATCTCTACCCAAAGGACCATCCTCCTTCAGCTCCCCCAGCCATGAAGCTGGTCAGGGGATGGTGACCACACAGAAACCTTTTTGTTACATCAGTCCCTTTGCCAGAATTCCTTCATCTTTTCTGCCTTCCGGCAAGCATAAGAAAGCAATTTATTACCAGACATAAAGCAAAGTAGAACCAGCCTACAATCCACAACCCCAAGGAAGCTGGAACCCCCTTCCAGGAAGAGATGGAGGCAGGTGTGGAGATCCACAACTAACCATTAGGCCAACCTCCCAGAGCACAATCAAAGTGAGGGAGGAGAGATAACATGAACAAAGGAGTCGAGACCATGATGGGGAAACCCACAGGATCAGCTGGCCCGAGCCAGTGAGAGTCACTGACTCCCCAGTCAGCTGGAGAAGTGGCACAGGATGAACTAGGACCCTGAATACGGGTGACAGTGGTGAGGAGAGACAATATATGAAGACACACGGTGTCTATGGGGATATTTCTGGTTAAAGAACTGATTGAGAGTTTAGGGAGTGCTGTAGTCTCCAAGACACGGTCCTCAGACGTGAAAATACAGAAGTGTGGTCAGAGAAACAGACAAGACTATACATGAAAATATAAAAACTGGAAAAAGTCAGACACAGTGTCAGAGAAACAGACAAGACTATACGGTGAAAATATAAAAACTGGAAAAAGTCACACACGGTGTCAGAGAAACAGACAAGACTATACATGAAAATATAAAAACTGGAAAAAGTCAGACACGGTGTCAGAGAAACAGACAAGACTATACATGAAAATATAAAAACTGGAAAAAGTCACACACGGTGTCAGATATCGTTAAGGCCAGCACTGGAGAGGCAAAGAGACAATCTGAGTTTGAGGCTAGCCCGGTCTACATGGTGAATTCCAGGCTAGCCAGGGCTATATAGTGAGACCTTGCTGAAAAGAAACAACAACCAACTACCTGGGAAAAGCACAAGAAGCTTGGTGGGAAATCCCGTTAAAAAGGCAGGCAACAAGCTACAAAAGAATGAAAACCAGGCTGGAGACCAGAAGAGAGGTTCAGGCACTACAGACAGAGACACTGTAGGGAAAAGGTCCAGCCAAAAAAAACACCCTGAGCAGAGCCAAAGAAACACACTTTGTCCCCGGAATCAGGGCCAGTGAAAGAAATACACCCTGGCCCTAAAACTAGACCCAAAAGGCTAAAAAGGACCAGAGAAAGAAACACACTTTGGCCCTGAAACCAGAGCCAAATCGGACCCTAACCCTGTGCAGAAAACTAACCAGTCCTTGAGCAGAGCTCTAGCCAATCTGAGCTCAGCACTGAAATCTGACCAATCCCCACCCTGGACGCCCTATATAAACCCTGTGTCTGTTCAGCTTGGCTAGTCCATCTGTTTTCTTCTAATAAACGCTTTAGACCAGCTTTGGATGAAGATCTTCTTTTGCGGCGGAGCTGAGGCGACCCTGGGCAGAGCAGAGCGAGCAGGACTTTAACACTTGGGCCTGGGAAATCTTCACCTGGCAGAGCGGCGTTGTTACACTCAGTCTCCACTCTCGGGGAAGCAGACCAGAGCTGAACTGTAGCAACTTCGCCTGTCAGGAAACCCTCTCCTGCTGGAGCAAAACTGCAACACTGGGCCAACATCCCCAGCTGGAAAACCCTGTCCTGCAGGAGCAGAGCCAATACACTGGGGAAGCCTTTCCCTAAGGCTGGGCTGTAAGCTGCTATGCTTACTGTGGTTTGTGGTGGTCCTTGCTCCGGAGCTCCAGGATACCTTTCCACCTGAGCTGTGTAACATTCAGTAGTTTGTGACTCCCGAGTGCCAGAATACCTGTCCTATCCGATCCTCCCGAAACACTTACAATAACCAAACTCTGCTGTCCAAGGATCTTTAAAAATACCACCCACACTTGGAAATATCATTAAGTAAAATGAGAAATCTGGAGTTTTTTTAAGACATCAAGGTATTTTCATTTGTGGCCAAGTTTAGCATTAGATTTGAGAGGATTTTGTCAATGATGAATGATAATAAATCTGACACAGGAAGATGAATATATTAGTATTTTTTAACTGATTTTACTGCCTAATGTTTACCTTATTTTTTCAATGATATCTTCCAAAAGATATTCCACAACTGGAAAAGTAAAACCAGGTATATGTATCATAGGACAGTTACCTATAATAGCAGAGAAAAACATAATCATTACTTTGCATTCAATATTCAAAATTAAAAATCAACACAACTATGACAGTAAAATATTCTTAACCTAAGAAACAGTTCTGCATTATATCTTCTACTTTTCCTACCCAACTTTAAAAAAGCCTAGTTCTAATAGTTATTTTACATCTACAAACTGTACAAAGTGCTCATAGTTATAAAAAACAACACTGTATACTAAAGAGTCATTTTAGATTGAACTCAAAATACATTAAAAACCTATTTCAGATTGTAAAATGATGAGTCCTAGTTTTACTGACAAACTAAGTAAAAAGCATTAATCTTTGTGTCACTGGGGGTTAATAGAAAGTTAAAGCAGAAACTAATCAACTATTAAACTGTTTCCATCTTAAGCTAACTAACAGATTATCTCTGTCATTGAAATGCTATTTGTGTCCCCTAACAAGCAAGTCAAGCACACAATAAACAAATGCCAAGCAGACCAGAGGCCAGAGGGCCTGAGCGGCTGTCCCTGCCGCGTACCTCACCTGCACAGCACGGAGTTAAAGTCACATCAAATCTAGTACCTCATTTGCTACATTTCATTTTCTTGTCCTTCCCCAAAATATTTGTTGTTGTTATAAGGAGGAAAGACACTGAAGAATATTCTACAGAATGCATTTTTCGGAGTAGTGAAGTCTAGTTTCAGGATCTTTGCTAATTATGCAATGATAATCCCTGTTAATTGTGCAACCTTGGATAAGTTATTTAACAGTTCTGAGGCTGCATTGTCATTTGCAGAACTGACGCAATACCAGTATCGACTTGCAAGATTTTACAAGAAAACAGTGAAGACAAATTGCTAACTACTACCTGACACACTGAAGTCACTTCCTAAGGGAGCACTAATATTATCATTGGCAAACTGTAAACCTAGCCTATGATGGTACATAGACACCACAGGGGGTTTGCACACGCCCACACACACACACACACACACACGCACGCGCACACACACACACACGGACAAAGTTATAAACACTTTCAATCCTGCAGTTTGATTTCTATGATGCCACCTCATTGTCTGCTGACAGCACCAAGAAACTAGGTATCTTCACAGTGAAAGAAAAGTGATGCTACTATTTAAAAAGCAGGCTTGGGTTTTCATCTAGAAAACTAGACTACACAGTTAAAATACAACAAATTAGTCAACACTCAATTTTATTATAACTACCACTGTGTAATTTTTTTTGTCTTGAAGTTAAATCTACCGATTTTTCTGAAACCTCTTTTAGCACAATTATCAAATTTTACTCACCAAAATATTCTGAAAATTTCTCAGCATTCAGTGTTGCACTCATCAATATTACTTTCAGGTCAGATCGAAAATTGAGAAGATCTTTAATAATAGTCATTAAAACATCTGACTGTAGATTCCTTTCATGAATTTCATCAAGTACAATGTGGCTAACACTGGACAAACGCCTAGAAGAAAGTGTGAAATCTGTAACAGTTCGAAACTCAAAGCAACCATTTTTAGCAACACAGTCCCGTTTAACAATGATACCTTAGGGCACCTGCGAGTGTTTGTGTTTACGTAACTTTGGAGAGGGTGAGAAAGTGCCTCATGTAGCCAAGGCTGGACTTGAGTTCCTGAGCCACCCCCGCCTTCATCTCTCAAGTGCTGAGGTTATAAGCATAAGCTAGCACACTCAGTTCTTAGCTAACATTTATTATTTCTTTCCTGAAACATACTCACGAGTCTGACTGGAGCCACTGAAGAATGATTCCTGTTGTACAGTATAAGATAGAGCCCTGTCTCCTTGGCAACCGACTGTGAACAAAGATACAAGCTATTAATTCTTGGTTTTCTTTTCCAAGAAAGTACTAAGTTCCACAAAAGTTTGAGAAAAATCTTTATGCTTCTACCACAAGGAAGTAAAGGAAACTACTACTCTTAAGTTTACTTTGATATTGACATTATTTCTTTCTCACAGGTATAACCTTTACCATTCAAAGGTTGAATGAATTTATGGGCTCTAAGTTTCTAGTTCAGTAAAGACAATTCTGTTCATGTAAACAGATTTAGCAACCTGAGCTCTAGGAAAGGATTGAAGAAGTTTTACAGAGGTAGATAATGGAGTTAGTGACACATTGTTAACAGACTCTATAAAGGGGTAGACAGGCAGTATCAAAGGGTACAGGACACCAGCTCATTTAGCGGGAACAACAGTCCACCACTAAAGCATGATTTCAAATCAGTCCTTAGTATGAAAGCACATTTCTAAAATGGTGCTTTTAGGGTTCAGAGAGGAGTTCACGGCAGCAAGCCAATTAGTACTGACACTGCTTTAACCATTAATTCTAGGGGAACTCATTTTCTAGTCCTCTACCTCCTACAGGTTTCTTCTCAATAAACTCTGCTTGCTTGTCCTTCAAAACATATGAAAGGGCCCTAATTCAACCCCCAAGACTCAGGTGGTAAATATAACTGACTCTTGCATGTTGTCCTCTGACAGACAGACAGACAGATACACACATACCATATGCCATGGTACATATATACACATGCATACACATAAATAAATATAATTTAAAATATTGAAATAAATGTCAATTCTAATAACAAGAATCAACATAAAAGAGGCGAAAATGTTTTCCTGATTTCAACATTTCACTACCTGTATACAAAAAGTGAACCAAAGTGAACACTGTTTACCTCTGGAGACGAATCTGGTATCCAGTACTATTACCATTGCCGCAAGATTCTGCCCTTTCTGCAGCTACTCTCTCAGCAACCTTTAATTTAAAAAAGTTGTAAATAAAATACAAATTCCTTTAGACAGATGTACTTAACTGTCATGAAAATCTGGGGTTGTTAAACAGTAACTGATTTTCAAATGAGGTTAGAAACTAGACACTCATTGATGTCCTAGGTCCCTAAAACCATGTGGTGTTTTCTTTGAGCATGGCACACGGCCAGCTTCTTTTGTTTAGTTATCATTTATCCTTATAAAGACCTTCAAGACCAAATTCTCTCTCATTTCATCATCATTTTCCAAACATCTTTCTTTCCATGACATCCTATAATTACTTTCTTTTTGATTTGTCTGCTATAGTCCACAGTCCAAACTTGGAAATTGCAATTTGAAATTAAGTACATGTTGATAATTTCTTATTTATTCTTCTATTTGTTGTTCTTTTGTGTGTAACAGAAACTGCTAACTCCTAGTCCTGGCTGGTTGTTTTCAAGGGTCATGACTACCAAAAACAAAATGGAAAATGAAATTTAATTATAATCCCTGCTGACTTCCATTACGTCCTGCGATGGTGGGCTGACAGATCACCTGTGCTAAACGACGGGGCAGCACAAGAGACATCTGAAACAACATCTACTTCCTCCCCGATGTGGTTTCTCTGAGGAGCTTCATTCAGACCTCACAAGTCCATATAAAACAGCTGCAATGAGACACGGTTTCCCATTTCACCACTATTCACATACTTCAACGCTGAGGAACAGACCTCCAAAAGAACACTGAGTAAGCCTCATGGCAGAAGTTAAAGCACCCCGAGAGGACTGCAGCATCTCGTCAGGTCTGTGAACAGTTTACTGGCTTTTCATTCTTTGCATTTGTATTGGAACTAATTAATCTTGAGCTTGCGAGCATCTACTATTGATGAAAGAGATGTCATCCACTTTTAGGTATTCCTTATTAAATATTTACTAATTAAGCATTTGCTCTCACAGGGACACTTCCTAAGTATAGTAAAGAATTACTATTATATATTATATATTAGAGTTATATTAAAGAATTATTGCAAATCTTAAAAAGCAGTTAAGTTCAATCAAAATTCCTTAGAGAGGAAAGAATTTCCACGAGTGCGAGCTCACTTACTGAAATGGCACTGATTCTTCTCGGCTGAGTGCACACTATTCTGCAGGCAGACCCTTTTCCTCTTTCAATGTAGTCATCCAAGATGAACTGCGTAACCTGCGTGGTCTTGCCACAGCCCGTTTCACCACTTATTACCGTTACCTGATGGTTACTGATTAGATTTACCAGCTCCTAGTTCAAAAGAGAAAACGAGTGAAGAGCGGCACATGCTGACCGAGGTCTGAAAAAGTGAAACTCTCCAACTGAAGTAAAGATAAGTTAATTATGCATCAGAGAAAATAACATCTCAAAAACTTAAGATGCACACTAACGTTGTTCATACTAACAATTCACCCTATTAACAAGACCGTCACCCTACTACATTAAGAATGTTATATATAGCATATATATACATATATATATATAAAACTTATTTAAATATTTCCTATCTACTCTAACAATGTATATAATGAGAACAAGTTTCAAGTTTAAACACTAAAAAAGCTGGTAAACATTTGATCCTCAAAGGCCAGGACTCCTGCATCTGTAGGACTAAAGCACAGATGAAAAATTTTTGAAGAAGCAATTACACTTACACTGAACTTGTCATAATTCCCTACACAATATTATTAGAGGGAAGTATTGTGGGTAATCTAGAGATGACTTAAACTACACAGGAGAATGTGTATAGCTTATATGAAAATATACTATCATTTTATATAAAGTACTTGAACATCTGAAGGCTGTGGAACCCAAAGGCCTAGAACCCATCCCCACAGACACTGAGGGCTGTGCTCAGCCACGGGACGTATCTCATTCATTCAACAAATAGCTTCTGGCTGCCAGTGTATCGGCAGGTGTTGCTCCACATCAAGAGATACAGAATAAGCAAAACAGACCCTGGCCTCAAGAACTTACATTAGACTAGGAGGGGAACACACACAGAGATGTCAGATGGTAATAGGCGCTATGAAAAGCAAAGAAAAAGAAAAAATAAATAAATAAGGTTGGGAGGACAGAGCCAGATAAAGGACTATGTTAGTCTATGCAGGGGGTGTGATGAAATGGGCCACTCCATTATAACACTATTCTTGGAAATTTAATTCAAGTTTAACCCAAGTGCTTGGTCTTCAGTTAAGAGCACCATAATCTTCCAGAGACACATATGGAAATTCTACTTTTTAACCTCCAAAGAATTTAATAGTCTTTGGACAACAATACCAGAAAACTGCTTCATATATTTTTAAGAGCTCTAGGACATTCATTCAGCTGCCCCATGGGAGAAGGTTCTCAAAGTGGAGTTTCTTTTAAAAACTATGGTTAACTTTTGTGCAAATCAAAGAGTACAAAGCATGTTTTACCTTTTGCATTCCATATGAAGGCAGCTTTTTTCTGAAATGCTGAAATTTAAACAAAAAGCATTCTCAGAATAAACATCATCAAGTTATAATCAGAACAGATCATAGGTAAATGTGTTAGACAACAATATTTTAATTATTTTATAGTGCATGTGAAATATCATGACTTAAACAGAATTACAAGACATTTATTAGAATTGTGTTCATCGAGGTTAGAAACTGCTACGTGACTCATCACCTAGTAATTCAGTAACAACCTCTAAATTCTTTTATCACGTTACTCTATACACTCATCACAGATTAACTGTCTACATCGTTCTTTTCCCTGCTCATTCATACACCACTTACTAATGCAAAGGTAACCAATTCTTTGTTCGTAATGTAAAAGTTCTCTCAGCCAGTCACTTCATAAATCTCACCAGGGTCCAAATCATATTGTTCCTCATGGGAATCAAACAGCTACACAATTTGGAGGCTGGGAAAACCTCAGCTAATCTACTCTAATAAGAAATTCAACCTTGACCAAAGCAACCAATGGGTTAATCCCTTCTCACAGATTTGATATTGTGCCTTCTCAAAAACAGCAATAACTATTTATAAGATATGGACCTCAGGATACCCTTAGTATTTCTCTACATATTTATGTGTGCACATTTGAAGATCTGATCATATCTATATCTAGAACATTCACAAATCATACAATTTTACATATTGACTCAAGGGGGGGACTTTAAATAGCTTGTCTGGCACACATAATTTGTACAACTTCAGTCCTCATTGTGGGAGTACAATTAAATGCTGGTAAACATAAAAGGGATCATCTAGCTTTTGAAAATTTAAGTTTTATCATCTATAAAAGAAAGACGTCCTGAGCTGGAAGAAACGTCACAATTCTTACAGTTTAAGCGTCTGAACTGACATTCCTCACTAGCTGGCCTAGAAAACTGTTCTCAAAGGCATTAGATTCTCAAGCACTTCTCAACACATGCATCTGTGAATGAGATACAACACCGTAGGTGCTACGGAATTCCCACGCTGCTTTTCTCTGCCACTAAAGAAAAGACTTGCCACAGGGGTGTCCTGGTGAGACATGGCGCTCCACCACACCTAGCACTGAACCTTCAACCACAACTCCATCCTCTCCAGGGTGGGACAACAGTGACTGGGGTCCCACCGTGTGGTTTCCATTACCTGCATCTCTATATACCGAGGGTCCGCTTTTTTCTTTTGTAAATCTTCCAATAATTGCTGGTCTAAGCCTACATTTGGCTCATTTTCTTGCAATAAGTACTCAGAATCTCGGTCAATGTATGATTTGTCTGTGATCCTAAACGTCTTTTTTTCTTGGTTCAGCGATTTCTTTTCCTGGTTGTCAAATTTCTTCTCTGAGCTAGTCTTTTTCTCTGAAGACACTTCTGTGCCGTACCTATAACCACAGAATAAAGAGCACAAGGACCAGATGAAGAGTGACTCGGGACATGGATCTAAACAAGCGTTATGGTCTCCAACCCTGAAAGCAATGCAATGTAGCTATGAATCATACTGAAATTTTCCAACACATTCAGACTTCTCCCTACTTTTACATGGATTATTACCAGATAACTAATTCCCTGAGGCACTTAAATCAAAATCCACACAACAGTCATCCATCCTTGGCAGTCATTTCTACTGTTTTACCTTTCTTGATTTTTCAAGGGTTAGTTTACTTTACAACTTCTTTTTTTGCCTCCTTACAGTTTCCAAAATACAATTTTTCCTATAAATATGGTTTTGCAACCATCTGAAACAGCAGCAAGCTAATTCTATGTAGACCTGCCCCACAGAAGAGTTTTAGAAAGGGAAGATACAGGTAGGAGACACAAGTAACAATATCTCACTCTGACATTTAGGGAATATGCTATCTAAAATTCCTCCTTCTTAGAGTCAGGTGGGGTGGCACACACCTTTAATCCCAGCACTTAGGAGGAAGAAGCAGATGATCTCTGAGTTCAAGCCTACCCTGGGCTACAGAATGGGTTCCAATACAGTCAAGGCAACACACAGAAATCCTATCTCAAAAAACAAAACAAAACCATTTTTGTCTGTCTTCAAATCTCTTTGTGCTACACTTAAAAAGATTCTTGAAGACTAACTGTGACTCAGTATAAAGACTAAAGACGGTAGGTTTTTTGTTGTTGTTTTGTTTTGTCTAGCCAATGCTATAGCAAATTTTTTCTTTTCAATATTCTTTATGAGAACATTTTTATTTTACCCATGATCCTCAGGAGCAAACCAGGATATCTGTGCTTCTGAATCTTTATCATTCTTAGATTGCACGGAATTCAGCAGCTGCACAATTTGTTCTTCTCGTCGTTCATCCATGTTTACTACAGCTCTCTATTTTTAAAAAAATTGTTATCTGTTAATACAAACATGCATAAAATTACATCTAAAGGCCCTAAATAAAAATCCTCTTCACCAAGAACACAAAGTAAAAGCATCCCTTCAATTTCACCACCCCTAAAGCCAATGTTCCAGTTTTTCTTTCTTCCTAATCAACCTGCTGCCAAATGTTCCATTTCTTTATCCTTCCATTTCTCGACACCCTACTGGAGTGTTTTACTAACCCACCTCCAGAGTGGGCCTTCATGAAAATCTTTATGACGCCCATGCACGGCCTGCCACTTTCAATGCATACACTCTTCTTCCCGCCTCCGGATAGTCTGCCTTGGGTTCCCCCCAGCCTTCTCTTCCTCTGATCATCAGTGCCGCACATTTTACAGACCAGCAGTGCAGCATCATTCGCTCATGTATTTCTTTCCTGCTAGTACAATGCAAAGGTGTCCAGCTCCCCACAGCAGCATTCAAAACCCATGTGTGCAACAGGGTCAAAAAAAAGGTGGGGGAGGGGGCTTGATTCTCAAAAACATGTGATAAAGTATTAAGATAGATTTTAAAAGCTCCAAGAAAGCTTCTATGAAAACGGGGTGGTTAAGTGGGAAAGAATAAACTGGTTTATGTCTTATTACGTTTTATCTACTATTGAAAGTGTTTTTCATTAAATCACCCGAAAAAATGCCATCCCGAAAGCTTCTTTGCAATGATCTACTTTTCTTTTTCATTAGAACCGGTCTTTCAAAAAATCATGACACTTCCTACACTACAGATTTTCAAGATACAAATCACACTGACAATCATCCCCTGATGAGATTTAGCCAAGCACTGCCCTGCGGGGTCTGCCTGCGTTTCGGGGACGGTGGTTACCGACTCCACAGAAAAACTGAGATGCAGAAACCAAAGGGAGAGGAGGCGGGGGGGGCGTGCAATGCATTTTTTTCACGTTGATAGCACTGTCAGCTATACTACTCTTGTCTCAGAGATCCACATCTCAAGACAGGGGCGCTACTGCTTCCGTTGGCGGCTCCAGGGGCCAACAACTTAAAGAGGAGTCGTGCCGGTCAGCCCACCGAGGGCAGTGATGCCATCCCTAACGAGCAGAGCCGGCTTCGGCTGCAATCCGCATTTAGCACGCTTGCCCAGTCCTCCAGCAGAGCACGTCCTGGGGCTGCAGGCGGGATGGATGGCTCGGGTAAACCCGGGGATGACTCGGGTGACCCCGGGGCTGCAGGCGGAGACCCGGGGCTGCAGGCGGCACGGATGGATGGGTCGGGTGACCCCGGGGCTGCACTGGTGATGGCTCGGGTAAACCCGAGGATGACTCGGGTGGCCCCGGGGCTGCAGGCGGAGACCCGGGGCTGCAGGCGGCATGGATGGATGGCTCGGGTGACCCCGGGGCTGCAGGCGGAGACCCGGGGCTGCAGGCGGGAGTGATGGCTCGGGTGACCCCGGGGATGACTAGGGTGGTGCTGGCTCCGGAGTCAGGGAGCCGCTCGCCCTCACGTCACCGCGGCGGAGGTTGCACCGCAGCTCGAGCAACCAACGCGGCCGAGGGCCCCCGGCTGGGCGGGCGCAGCGCGTCCCGCCTCGGCCTCCGTACCTCCTGCCGCTCGGCCTCCTTGTTCTTCTGCGTCTGCTTCTTGGCGTACCACAGGCCGATCTCGCGGCCCTTGAGGTGTCCGGGATGCCGGCCCCGGCCCCCGCGGCCCCCGCCGCCTCCTCCGCCTGGGCCCCGGTTCCCTCCGCCGCCAGAGCCCTGGCCGGAGCCCCGCGGGCCGGCGTCGCGGCCCCAGCCCTGGTGGTAGTCGTAGCTCATCGTCCCGGACGACCACCGGCCCCACCGCGAAAAGCAACCGCTGACAATGGCGACCGGGCCCGGAAGCGGGAGCACACGCACGCCTGCTCCGCTTCCGGCGCCCGGGCGCGAGAGGGCGGGCCGTTGACGGAGTGTCACAAGCAGGCGCTTCCGGCGCGACGTCGTCGCGCACGGAGGCGGGGAAAGAGGGTGGGGCTCGGAGGGTGGGGCTCAGAGGAGGGTGGGGCTTGACTTGGATGCTGGGATTGCCCGGTGGGCGGCCCGGCGCTACCAAGAGAATTTAGAACCCAGCCCGGGATCTGAGTGTGGACATCTGAGTGGGTTTGTTTGTTTGTTTGTTTGTTTTTTAAGCATTTTGTTTATTTAATTAAATTTGTGTGCCTTTGGGGTTTTGACCCCCAGCGTCAGGGTCCCCTGGAGCTGGAGGAGTCAGACAGGTGGGTGAGCCGCCCTGTGGGTGCTGGGACTTGAACCCCGGGTCGTCCTTGAAGAGCAGCCTAATTAACTTAGTAAAAGAAATGCTACGATGCCAGGAAGTGACCAGAATAATCCACCGTGACCTTAAAACATTTTTTGAGTAAATATGTTTGAGTTCTCTTATTATGTAAAGTCAAAGCCTCCCCAAGAATTTTGTCCCGATCTTCCTAGAAGAGCCAGGGAAGACCGATTCATCACTGGAGACTAGAGTCAACATCATAGGTACACAGAATTTTGTCACACACAAAAATAATCCACATCTCCTGTCTATTATAAGGGTGCCTTTATCATCTCCATAAATGTTCCTTTTTTCCCTTACCTTAAGGTCGTATGCAACCCTGTCCTCTGTCTTCACTTTGCGTTCTGGCTACCCAAAGTCAACTGTAGCCCCAAACTGTTAAGTAGAAAACTACCGAATGAATTTTCATGCTTTAAGTTGTGTACTGTGGCACCAGGTGGGATGAAATCGCACGGTGGTTGCCCTGCGTTCAGCATAGGACGTAAGCCATCTCTTTGTCGTCTGTGTCTGTGCTCTGTGGGCCCCAGCTCCCCAAACTGAAGTTTGTTAACCCCATCTGTGGTCATGGAGCTGAATGTCAGGACTATGAAAAACTTGGCAGCAGGGAAAGTTTTCTGAGCATGAAACACTTATAAACATCAGTTTGAAATCAAGCAAGGTGCGTTTTTTTTTGTTGTTTTTGTTTTGTTTTGTTTTGTTTTTTGGTTGCACCAGCCCACGTTACATTATCCAGCTCCACGGCAGCCTTGATTTGGAACATCAGCCGGCAACACAGTGCGACGCACCTGTAGTCACCGTGCAGATTGACAAACGTCACCCGAAATACCTGGGTGTGGAATCAGGGCTATTGTACGTGATGAACTGTAGTGACCTTAAAATACATTAAGATTAAACTGCTGTCATAGAAAACCAGTTGTTAGCTATGGAAACCCAATACCGGCTATGTTCATTCCTTATCACTAATTACCAGGTTAGTATATCTTTGGACTGTCATGTGCTAGTGTTTGATTTGTTAAAAATTTCTGTTAGAGTTGCCAATCTGAGTTTCATAAAAAAAATTAAATTAAATTTGGCTTGGACTGACAAAGAATTTCCAACAATTTTGGAAATAATTCTAAATACTTCTTTCATTTTTGCGGCGTATTTATTTGAAACAGTGTTGAAAATGCTGCACATCCTGCAATGAAGATTTATTTATGTAAAAGTAAACTGGCACACCTATCTCATTAGTACACGTATTTTCTTTTGTCGTTAGTAAATGGTAAAAGCATATGCATTGCGAAGAATTGGCCATTTTTTTTTTGTCTTGTTTCCTTGAGACAGCGTCTCGTATAGACGAGACCGGGTCTGGAACTTGCCACACAGCTGGAGAGTGACTTTGAGCTCTTGGTCCTCCAGCCCTCATGCCACAAGTGGTACAAATCGCCAGCATGCTCCACCCATGTCCAAAACAAATAATTGTTTTAAGATGGATTTCTTTACTCTTTCTTAGTGGTGGTCAATTTGTTCACCCATGCTGTACACCTATATGCCCAAAACCACAAAAAAAAAAAAAAACATTTCCTGGGCAGGAAAGGATTGTGAATGTGGAAGGTTTAAGAGGCTGTGTGACAGGTTTCCTGTCCTTTACTCCCCATGGCTCTTAGTTCATCAGGACAGGTGTGATGGCTTTAGAGCGTCTGTGTTCAAGAAGACATTATTTAACTCCCATAATTATTGCCATTGTGACTGGGGTGATAATACATACCAAAAGGAAGGCTTGACGTATTTAATTTAAAAGAAAAAGTGAATGTCCTTAGTTTGACAAGAAAAGGAAAACTATATGGAGAGATTGTTAAGATAAACGTTAAAAATTACTCTATCTGTGAAACTGTGAAGAAGGGAAAGCGTTCATAATCTTGCTGTTGTATTTCAAGTTACATAAGTTATACCCATGGTACAAGATAAGCTCTTTTTTTGTTGTTGTTGTTTTTCCCCCCTTTGGTTTTACGAGACAGGGTTTCTCTGTATTGTTTTGGAGGCTGTTGGTCCAGCCCGGCCTCGAACTCACAGAGATCCGCCTGCCTCTGCCTCCCGAGTGCTGGGGTTAAAGGCGTGCGCCACCACCGCCCGGCACAAGATAAGCTCTTAATTGAGATGTAAAAGACATCACATTCATATATGGAAGACAGGAATAGAAAACATGTTCTGATCGACCAGGATGAAATATGCTGAACACTCTGAGCCATCCTTTCAGGAAGCTGCTCTAAGAAAGAAGAAAGAACAGAGGGAAAAACACATTCACATAAAAAAAAATAATCACGCTTTTATATATGCAACGTGTGTGTGTGTGTGCGCGCGCTTGTGTGTGCGTGTGTGTGTGTGTGTGCTCGTGTGTGTGTGTGTGCTCGTGTGCACGTGTGTGTGTGCATGTGTGTGTGTGTGTGTGTGTGTGTGTGTACATGAGTGGAAGTTAGAAGACGTCTTGGAGGAGTCAGTTCTCTTCTTCCGTTGCATGGGGTCAGGAGACAGAACTCATGTCAGTCTTGGCAGCAAGCACTTTATCCCCTGAGTCATCTCACACACTTTTAGACAGTTTTATTGGTTGCTGATGCTAATATCTGACTGTGGCTACTTTATTATAGGAGTGGGAAGTAACAGCTAAAAAAGGTCCAGTGATATCTGGGGTATCATGCACGACGGGGACACCATGGTCGAAGCCTCAAATTCTACCCACCCCCTCCTCAAGTCGCTTTCCCCCTGCAAATTTTATGTGATGCAATTATTTGCATCTTTTATGTTGCTCATCCACATCGTCACTTTAATCCTCGTGCCCTCAAATACTGAGCAAGGAAGATGAAGAAACTGTTTCCTCTTGAATAACGTTGAGATGTTACAGGGGGAAAAATTGACGATGAGTAAAATTTGGTATCCAGACTAATGGGTGTGGAAGAGATTGTGATAATGCTATGCCTTCAGCAGCCTATAATACTATCCTTCTCAAGTGCTGTCTCTACTGTCCACAGGCTAGGGCATGGGTGCGTAAACACTGTGCTCAAAACGATAATATTTGGTGTCCACTTCCACAAGCATCCAACCTCCGCATCCTTTACACTAATTAGAATGCAGCAAGAGTGAGCCACACAGAATCACAGGATACAGTAAAAAGTGACACTGCATAGTCGAGTTGGTGTCAGGAAACCCGGTGTGCTCCATAATCTTTATATCAACACACCAGCCTCTCTGCACATTGATACTAAGGCCCAGGAGGAGGGCTTACTGCCAGCATTCTCCTTGACAACCAGAACCCTTAATTTTCTTCTTTCAGGTAATTATGAGGTTTTACTCTGTTAGGCTTTCCTTCTTTTTAGGATAAGACTTTAAGCAAGAGATATGGGAGATTTGTTACTGTAGACAACGGCCCTGGCATGTGTGTTTTAGCTCCAAAAGTTGCCTGTTTGATATCATTCTTGGGCTCATTAATAAAATCTACGATAGTGAATCCTTGACAATCGTAGTCTGGTGAATGTGTCCAGCTAATTCATCCTTGTTTCACCAACTGGTGTTCTTATGGCTGTCATTCCTTGTTGGCTGACTGGCAGGAATTTCACTTGGCTTCCGCTGAGTGGGTACTTGGCTCCAGCCTAGTAACCCCTGGGCCACCGAGCAGCATCTCTTGCCTCTTTATCTCCTGTGTGCTATAACAAGAGTATCTGAACTGATTAAGAGTTGAGGAAAGTTTTTACAGTGCTTTTACAATTTGTATTGGTGAGATTTGTGTCAACTTGATACAAGCTAGAGTCATCCGGGAACTGGGAACCTCAGCCGAGAAAATCCCCCCTTCAGAATGGCCAGTCAGGCAAGACTATGAGGCGTTTTCTTGATCGATGATTGACGTGGGAGGATCCAGCCCATTGTGGGCGGTGCCACTCCCAGGCCCGTGATCTCGGGTGCTATGAGAAAGCAGGCTGGTCTATTCGTAACAGCCAGAAACTGGAAGCAACCTGAAGAATGGGTAAAGAAACTGTGGTACATCTACACAATGTAGTATTACTCAACCGTTAAAAAAATGATATCGCGAAACTTGCTGCCAAATAGATGGAACTAGAAAAGATCATCCTGAGTGAGGTATCCCAGGCCCAGAAAGACAAATACGGTATGTACTCACATGTAAGTGCATATTAACCGTAAAGGATAGCCATGCTCCAACCCACAGACCCAGAGAGGCTAAGTAACAAGGAGGGCAAGAAGAGGAGGCATGAAGCTCACTGTGATGGGGAAACAGAGCGGGCATTGCCAGTGGATGGGAGGAGGGTTCTAGAAGGGAATAGGAACGGGAACGGGAATGGGGATGGGGATGGGGATGGGAGGAGTAGGGTTCATGTGGGGAGAGGATGGAAGGAGAGAGTACTGGGCTGGGGGGGGCATCTCTGGGATAAGTAGAAGCCTAGGGCAATGGAAAGTCCCAGGAATATAGGAGGGTGACTCCTAGCATTAGGGGATACGGAGCCTGAACCAGCCATCTCCTGTAATCAGGCAAGACTGCCAGTGAGGGGTCTGGGACACCAACCGAAGCCACAAACCGTTCAGCCTGCAATGTGTCCGGCCTACAAAATGTGCTGGTGGTAGAGGTGGCTCAGAAACACTGGGAGTGGCCGGCTGATGGCTGGCATAGTTGGAGACCCATACATACCCGAGAGGGAGCTCCCCACCCGCCCACAGTCAGGACCCAGAAGTGGGACACCCCAGAGACCCAGGATAGAACCAAACTTGAATGGCAAAACAAGAAACCAATGAAATGGCCCCTAGTGATAGTCTCCTATACTCAGATTGGTGCCTAGCCCAGCTGTCATCAGCGAGGCTTCACCCAGCAACGGATGGAAACAGATGCAGAAACGCCCAGCCAAGCATTAGGCAGGGCTCTGGGAACCCTGCAGAAGAGCAGGAGGGAGGATTGTAGGACCCAGTAGTGCCAAGGGCACCAAAAGAAACCCACAGAACCAACTAACCTGGGATCATAGGGGCTCACAGTGACTGAACCGACAACCAGGGAGTCCACATGGGACTGACCTAGGTCCTCTGCATATATGTTAGCAGTTGTGTAACTTGGTCTTCACGTGGGAGTCCTAGAAGTGAGAACGGAGTCTCTGACTCTGACTTCGTTGCATGATTTTGGGACCCATTCCCCCTGTCGGGTTGTGCAACCTTAGTGGAACCGTGAGAGAGGCTTCAGGGGGGAAAAAGCAGAGGGCTTTTTTTTTTAAACCTCAGGTACATTTTGTTCCTGGGATCATTCTTGGATGTGATATCATGTCTCTTGTGGCAAACATGGACATCCAATTTATAAGACATGTTTATTCTTCCTGGGTGTGAGAACACAGCTACAGAACCTAATCCGATTAGTGTGCCCTGAATCTGGATAGGACCTTTCCACATTGCTTTCATGCAATTCCAGACACAATCTATAGCACACGTCAGGCAACCGAGTTTCAACTGGTCTGACCTGAGGAAGTTCTGGGAAAGGACGGCTCTGTTAATATTTAGTATGTGCTCATTGACATCTACCTACAGTTTTTTTTTCCTGATTATGCATTGCTGATTCTGTTTTGCTGAACTCAAACAATCTTCCTTGGGTTATTGCTTCCTTCATTACATCCGCGTATGAAAGTACGCTAAAACTGAAGTAAGACTGTCTACAGCATTAGACTACAATTGGCCCCCTTCCATTCACGTCCTAGAATCCCAGGTCTCAAAGTCAGAGCTGCGTAGGTCAACAAAAGGTGACAATATCTGTCATTTGAACAGTTGTGCAGTCAAGGCTGTGATATGTTTCATGGAGGAAAATGCAGATTAAAATCAGCCAAGGACACGTGTGGCTGTTGGGGCACGGAGGAGTCACTTTTCTTTGGGGACGTAGTTGCTGGCTATTGCCCATGTACCCATGGATATACCCACACCGATAATTGCACGCAGTGGGTATTATTCTTAAAGAAGACATGAAAATGGGAGACAATGTATGGAAGAGGATTCAGGGGACGTGGGAAACTGGAGATGGTTGTGAACAAGATGCGCTATACCCATGTGTGAAATTTTCAAAGAATTAATCATAAAATTAAAAAAAAAGGATGAAAAATAAAACAGGAGAAAAATACACAAACAAAACTAGCCAGGGGAATAAATGAATAGAGACAATTCCAGCAGAAGTTCCAAGCATGGAATTGCTGTTGTGCTTTTCTCACGGAGTCACGAACAGCATTCCTTTTCTACGTGTGACAACAAGCACCCGGGGGACGCTCATTTGAATCCTTGCTGGAGCTCCATCGTAGGAAGAGCAGCATTGGGTCTGATAGGCTCTTCGGGTGACACAATCAAGCTTCTTGTCCCCAGGTGGCCATGCAGAGACAAGAAGACCAGAGCTCTCATTGCAAACCAGTTTGTTGTTGTCTGATTTGCTCAGGACCACAGAAGAGGGAGACAGAGAGAGACAAGTAACAGAGCATACCTGTGCATTATGTGACTCTGTCTGAAGAACTGTGGAGCCTGACAGTCGTTCAGAGAGTCTCCCGAGCATAAAATTGGTGTTGGGGGTGAGGCAATGTTATGTGGACACTATTCACTAACTTTATACTTGACTTAAATTGTCATAGGTATACTTGTATGTGTGTTTTGTTTTATTTACAAGGTTAATACCAAGTACTTAGAACAATTATGCTACATAACTGTCACCAATTATAATGAAAAATGAATAAAATAAGCTGAAAGACGTGAGAGTCAGAGAAAATCTGTTTATGAGGTCTAATGTCAGACGAATTTATCAGAAGACTTTTGAAATAACGCACAACCAAGTTCCTCTTGTATCCTGAAAAACACAACATGCTTTTCTGCTTCAAAATTAATTGCCACTGTCAAGATCAGCTGTCAGAAGTGTTGGGGGTTATATAGTGTGAGTTTAAATTATTTGGTTTTTACAGGCACTGCACATCTGCAGTTGGCAGGAGTCACCACCAGATGGCGACACGAACAATGAAGCAGCTTTTATCTTAAGGTGTGTGTTTATAAACAAAAGAGATAAGCTATGCCTAACTTAGTGTTCATTAATATTGAGAATTTTATAACTTCATCTTACAAGGAGAAGTTAAGGCATTTGGATATAGTACGAAATATCAAGATACTCCCTGTGTCAAAAGAGGGTTCATGCAGGGTCCATGATTAGAGTCACTAAAGAGTAAATAAACTTGATTAGGAGTGTGCAATTGCATCTTCCCCCTTGATGCAAGGATTTGCAGGCAATATTTATGCTTCCTTTTGTGTTTTTTCATCAATTCAATACAGATGGCTCAGGATGCTGGGCTGCAATTTATTTTCAAATTTAATGTGTATGGGTGTTTTCCCTGCACGTATTCCTCTGTACCACATGAGCAAGCCATGTCTGAAGAAGCCAAAAGATGGACAGCATCAGATCCCATGGGACCAGGCATGCTAAGCCGACAGATTTGCCCAACTGTCATTGAGCCCAGCAGCTCTCAATTTTGGTAAGAACTGTCCTAAAAAGTAATATATATTTGCAATAAAAATTCCTGTGAGTTTAAGTTTATGTGCTATGCGTTGTGACAGGTTCGCTCTAAAGACATGGATAATGACACTGCCTTTTCTTAAGTTTAGACAGTGAGGTACTGAGTAGTTATAAGAGGCGGGAAAAGTTCGTTGGGATCATTTTATTAGAATTTTATGGTTGTTCTGGTAATTAATTAATTAATTTTATGAAGGGTCTTACTCGGTAGTCTAGGTGCCCGAAACTCACTGCAGAGACTGGGCCTGATCAAACTTGCACCCCTCCTCTGGTTTCTCCCACGTGCTGGAGATTAAGGCATGAGCCAACACAACAGCCGCGTGTTTGTTGATTTAGAGGCGCTCACTTTCAGAGTGCTTCTTCTTGATGACAAATGCTCTCTGGAGGACAGAACAACGTAAGAGCACAGGTGAAGTAAGTTTTAAGACTTTCGACACAGTATAATGAAGTAGAGACCAATGTAATTAATCTGTACTATTCCTGCCACACAGGTTTACACCATCTAAGAGCACATAAAGCAGCAATGACTTTGTACATAAATATTTAGGTAACATATCCAATATGTGTATAGAAAGATTGGAATAGAATAGTCTTAAAAGCTCATGTTTTTTTAAATATACATTAGTGGCGTGCTAGTAAGGTGGTTTGGAAAAAATTAATCACGTCCTGTATTTTCTTTAATGAAATACATGTTGAATTGTTTTTCGTTTGAGATACTACAATGTCTTCAGGGAAGAAATCTTAAGGTTCTTAACCTAGAAATAATGTTTTTTTTAATGCTTCAAGAATGACAAAGCAAGTCTTAGGAATCTTCAGCACAGCAACAGACTTCTATTGTTAGACTGGGGGGGGGTTACTTCTTTAGCCAGAAGCTGGTTGCCCTAGTGTGCTGTACCTACCTCTCAGGATTTACCGTGACAGGATTCTCTCCCAGTCTCCATTCAAAGAAACAGACCAACTTTGGGATGGTGATATGGTTATGACTGGCTATAATTTGTACCCTACAGGTTAATGTCACAAGTCATAGTCCCAGGTGGGACCAAGTAGAGATGTCTTTAGGCCAGGGAAACATGTTCTAGAAGGGATTATGAAACACCTTGGTTCCTTTCATTTGCGCTCATAAGGTGAGAGATTTTGTTCTGCCCTGTAGCATTCCATCATAGGACACCTTGTCACAGCCCCAGAAAGGGCAGATAGTGAGTGTTGTTTTCACTCTTTGGGGGGTCCTGCCACCCAGCTCTTAAATAATCACACGCGGAGGCTTACTATCGCTTAAAAACGTCCAGCCTTAGCTTGGCTTGTTTCTAGCCAACTTTTCCCATCTGTCTTTTGCATCTGGGCTCTTACCTTTCTATGCACCTGTTTGTACTTCTTACTCAGTGGCTTGCTGTGTAGCTGGGTGGCTGGTCCCTGGTATACTCACTCTCCTCCTTCTTTTTCTTGTTCCTTGATCTTCTCTGTCCAGATTTCTCCCATTTATTCTCTGCCTGCTAGCCTGGCCAGCGCATATCCTTTCTCCTGCCTAGCTATTGACCATTCATCTCTTTATTAGACCAATCAGGTGTTTTAGACAGGCAAGGTAACAAAGTTTCACAGAGTTAAACAAATGCAACAAAGTAGAATACAACACATCTTTGTTTCATTAATCAAATGTTTCACAGCATAAACAAATGTAGCACATTTTCAACTAATATTCCACAACACTTGAGTCCAAATAAAGCCTATCCCAGGGATTTGTCGGAGGAAGAGACATCTAACAACAAGCTTTTTTTTCCAGAGATGTTTGATTTAAAGATGACTTCAAATGCCACTTTCAATATACAGAATATTTAAGAGTGATCATGACACACTGAAAAGGGAAAGAAACACCTCTGATACATTCAAGAGAGACAAACAGGACCACTCACTAAACTACTCATATTTTCATAACAACAAATGAAATAACAATAGACTAGGGATACACATATTTCTAAATTTCCATGTTAGAAGCTAATTTGATGTTGCTACACAGGAACAAACTTCCTAGACTACTAAAAGGCTAAAGCAGTAACTGAAGAAAGCTTGTTTAGCTAGACACGTGTAGGCAAATATGTATTCAAATACAACTCGGGGTTTGGGTGGCATTGTTTTCCATCTCCACAACATCTGTTTTCCCTCTTGCAGTAAAAAGCAGCTTGGATGCAGAAACCCATGCACGAGAAAAGCACATTCTTTTCATAAATAGGCAAAACATTAGCAAACTGGGTCAAGATTTGGTGTAGAAAACCAGACGCAACGCTGCTCAGTGACCACAGTGTATGATCTTTAGCATACGAAATGCTCTTTACGTATGTACTGTAGCAAGTCACTCCCCAAAAATAATAACCAGGAAACCTTATGTAAGCCTGTGATTAGAAGGGAGTGGGAAATGAGTCTCAGCACTAGGGCAAGTTTCGCAGTTCGAGGTTGCGGATCTGTCCAGGCCCCTTCAGACCCGGAACTCCCTAGTTACCTTCATTTTGAGCCTCCCTTTTCCTGTAGGCTTTGTTTAACAGCTGGATCTCCTCCTGGTAGCCTTCCCTGTCCTGATGCTGCCGCTTACTGTTCTGTCTGTGCGCCTCCACAGTGTCAGGGATGGAGATGTTGATGTCGCCGTCAGGATCACTTGTGGGTAAGAACAGGGAGTATGAGGCAGTCTCTCCTAAATCGCAGGAGACGAATCTGTTTTCCTTCCGTGAGTAGCGCAAAGAAGGAGACCTGACTTTCGTGGAGGACTGGCTGATGTTGCTGATGATTGACACAGTGTCCAAAGCCTCGTCGTTGTCACAGATTTCAAGGACCTCCAAGTGTATTTTCACGCTGGTGTCTGCAAACGTGGAGGGAGACTCCTCTGAGTTCGGTTCATGGCCAACACTTTTCGATCGGTAGACTTCTATCTTCTTAGAGGCCGGGGTTATCTTTTGCCCCTCTGCACTGACCTCGTAAGTAGAAAGAGAGAGGGTTTTCCCAGTGGGTGCTTGGAGAGACACTGTCCCCTGGAATGCACATAAGGGAATAGCCAGCCCACTGGAACGCTGGGGACAGAAACAAAAAATGGTTGTATTACTGAAATGGACACATAGAAATCCATTTTATGCAACAGAAGGGTAAGTCTTCTAATTCTGATTCATTTCCCTGGAAACTGTTTACAGATAACGAGATTTTGCTTCTGTCGCTGAGTTTCTCTGAGGTCAAACATACCGAAAGGAGTGCAGTCACTTAAGAGAAAGCAAGAGGTATTTCCAGAGTTGAAAGAGAATTGAGTGTGCTGGTAGGAAGCAATAAGAAGTGTGTTCCTTTCCAAGGGTAGGATTTGGACACAAATTAAACGCATGCTTGCAATGTGGAATTGATTTTATGTTTCTGCCACATAGTTACATCTCAAAGCATACATAGATCGCAGGAAATGGAGACTGCGTTATCAGCACATGGAGTTTTTTTCCTCATTAGTGTACCTAACAGAGAAAATGGTGCCTGCAAAGCTATGATGCAAATTAAGAGCCGAGGATATTTCAGTGGTTAGTTCCTAAGAGGAACCAATTGTCACCAAAGAGTTTGCTTTTCCATTGAGAAGACAGTCATTGAGATAAACCCAATTATAGAAAACTCCATGGTTCTGGAAATACCCTCCCCAAAGTTTAGACCTCTTTCTATGAAGTGGCATTGAGAGGCACTTAATAAATAAATAAAGGAAGAAAGAAAGTAAGAAAAGAGAACTGATCCTCATGAAAGTCTAATAATCTTTATTGCCTTTTCATACTTTCAGCTGGCCCCTTTTCTGCTTCCATGTTTCTGCTGGAAGGGCATGGTCATATGTAAATACTCAGAGCGCTCCACAACCCATCTCATCCGTATTATCTGGGAGCTTGCTGCAAATGGCAGATTTTTAAAGTTTCACTCTGTAGTTAACCAAGATGGGAGTCACTTAATAAGACCCATGTTGAATCTGCTGTAAAGTTTGAAATGCATCACTCTAATTAATACTTGTAGTCCATAAAAATAAGGGGAGGATCCAGGTGGCGGTGGTGACACACACCTTTAATCCCACTACTCGGGAAGCAGAGGCAGGCAGATCAAGGTGAGTTCAAGGCCAGCCTCGTCTACAGAGTGAGTTCCAGGACAGCTAGGGCTGCTACACAGAGAAACCCTGTCTTGAAAATCAAATAAAAATCAAATTAAAAAAAAAGGGATAGGCAGTTTGACAGATACTTTCATACATGCACTATGACTGAAAAAAGTCTGGGGTTAACTTGCTGGATTGCTGGGTTTGCCTATATTTGCTTTATCAGTTTAAGATGGTCAAACTTCTTAGTTTTCCTGAGACCACCTCAGTTTTAGCATTGAAAGTCCCACATCCACATGGCAGGACGCTTCTAATTTCCAGGAAAATTGTTATGGAGGAATGAGCCCAGGACTGGATTCCTACTCTTGGAGAACAACGTGGATCCCTTCTATTTAGAGAAAAAAATTTCAATGAAACATTTCAAATAGCTCAGCGTTTTATTTTTATTTTTATTTTTATTTTTGAGACAGGGTTTCTCTGTGGCTTTGGAGGCTGTCCTGAACTAGCTCTTGTAGACTAAGCTGGTCTCGAACTCAGAGATCTGCCTGCCTCTGCCTCCCAAGTGCTGGGATTAAAGGTGTGCACCACCACCACCTGGCAAATATTCATCTTTTAATCGTATGAGTGTTTGCTTGCATGTGTGTATGTACATCCTAAGAATGTCTGGTGTCTGAAGAAGCCAGAAGAGAGGATCAGATCCTCTAGAACTAGGATTACACCTAGCATAAGCTTGGTTGGCGCTAGGAACTGGAACCTAGTCCTCTGCAAGAACAGCAAGTGTTCTAAACTATATCTCCAGCCCATAGATAGATAATTTTTTGATGAGATTGAATCATAAACTTCATGGGAGGTGAGTTTTTTAGTTGTTGTTTTTAAAACTATGCTTTTTTTTTAAACAATTTCATACATCTTCTTTAAATAGCTGAGCGTTGGTGGCGCAAGCCTTTAATCCCAGCACTCGGGTGGCAGAGGCAGGTGGATCTCTGTGAGTTCAAGACCAGTCTGGTCCATAAGAGCTAGTTCTAGGGCAGTCTCCAAAGCCACAGAGAAACCCTGTCTTGAGAAAACAAAAACAAAAAAGAACCAATGTCATACATAGTTACAATTCATATTGTTACTGTCTCCTCTCTCTTTGTTCCCTTCTACCATTGCTAGTTTCCTTGTCCCTCAGGATTCTCTTTTCCATATTTATGGGTTTTTGTTTCATGTTCTGAAGAGTTGAGGGCCATCTGTGTGGCCATGGGTTTGGAGCTACCTACCCAGTGGATTCCCAACTGTTAGTTGCCAGTAGTGTAGTGCAGGAAGTGAGAGATCCCAAAGCCCCTGACACTGGAGTTGCTTTATGCTCCATTTTTCCTTGAATTTAAGGACCATGAAAAACAAAGCCTGGGTATGTGAGACATGTCTAAGTGATTCCTTATTGAGGGATCTTGAATTCTGTTTCTGCATGGGAGGACCTGGCATGCTAACTTCGGGGATCTGCATTCTAGTAGGCCTAGAATCTTGAAAAGTTGCACTATAAAGCTCAGTTCAGTAACCTATGGAGGCAAAGATCATCATCAACTCTACAGGATGTCCATGGCCTTTGTTGCTGCAGGGGGTCATAGGAACCATGCATGTTGAAATCTGAGGGCCATGTTGAGCCACACACCCCTCACTGTTCTGAGATGGGCTTGTCATGTCCCTCTTTGGACACTGCAGCAAGAGCAATGCCCCCCCCTTGGGAGAGCTGTTCCCCAACAGGAGAGTTGGCCCTGCCTCATACCAGGCACATGGAAGAGTTGGCTCAAACGGCATGTGCCTTGGAGAACTGACTCCAAACGACATCTGAATGGGGCATCTCCAGTGGTTGGAACCACTGGCTTCAGCTACCACTCTGACCTAACATCCGGGGTCTTGAATTAGTCTACCATAACATCTACCACATCTGTGACTGCAGGAGTTTATGATGAGACTGGTCCTGAGGAATGATAACTACAGTATCTCCATGACTCAGGTCAACAGCAGGGTATCCAGTGAGGGTCCAGTAGTGATGGTGCCCCAGGGGACTTGAGCCAGACCAATGACTCACTGCAATGAACACTGTGTGGGTGGGGCTGATTGGACACAAGGGTATACTGTGTGACACACTGGAACACCCAATGCCAGTTGGATGAATGAGGAGGTGTTGGAAAGATGGAGAAGTGAGGTGGGGTTTGTGTGTGCGTGTGTGTGTGTGTGTGTGTGTGTGTGTGTGTGTATGCATGTGTGCGTGTGTGTGTGTGCGTGTGCGCAAGCGTGTGCGCTTTGTTTGTTTGTTTGTTTGTTTGTTTGGTTTTACGAGACAGGGTTTCTCTGTATTGTTTTGGAGGCTCTCGGTCCAGCCTGGCCTCGAACTCACAGAGATCTGCCTGCCTCTGCCTTCCAAGTGCTAGGATTAAAGGCATGCGCCACCACCGCCCAGCTCGCTTTGTTTTGTTTTTAATTGATTTTGGGAGAAGTTTTCTTTGGGGAGGTGCTGCAGGAGTGAGAGAAGGGTATGAAGGTGAACTGGATTGGGGTACACGGTGTGAAATTCCCAAAGAATCAATAAACAATTATGTTTGAAAATAATGAGCAAATAAAGTAAATTTTTAAAGTTCATCCTAAAATCTTCCGATCCGGAAAAAAACTTTTTTCTTTTAAATCAAAGACAGAGATTTATGAGTTTTTAACTACAAAAACTAAAAGTATTATTCAGTCCGAAATCCTGACTGTCAGGCCTGGGGAGATGGTTCAGTGGTAAGGTTTGTTGTGTAAGCACGAGGAATTGACTTCTGACCCCCAAGACTCAAGTAAAAAGTCTTCGTGGTGACACGCATCTATAACCTCAGATTTGGGGGGGACAGAGACAGGAGGATTTCTTGGGCTCATTGGAATCTAACCAAAATAGCGAGCCTCAGTGAATGACCCTGTCTTAAGCAGTAAACATGGAGAGAAATTGAGGAAGACACCTCACAGTCAATCTCTGGCCTCCACACCCACCTGCATGCGTGAGTGTACCCTCCCAAGCACACGCGCACACACACACACACACACACACACACACACACACACACACACACATTCTGAGCGTTGTCTCACAGTGTGAGTTGTAATCATGGTTTCCTGTCCTCTTTCTGTATTCTAACAAGTAGCTCATTTGAAAGCTGAATTCCCTTAAATTATGATTTATTGTAAGAAAAGCGGCCTACCTTCTTTCCTAAATAAATCACTTCTAAGGTATTTTATTTGGCATTTTACATTTTGCCACCAAAATGCTGTGTATTATACTAGCGTAAAACAACAAAAATCGTGAGAAAGCTGAGTTATCAAACAGATCAAAGTGATATAAGCATGCCTGTATAAAGAGCCATTTAGTTGTATCTCCGTAGGCAACAATGCTAACACCAATAGTAGTTCATATGAAGCAGATGAGGGACCAATTGGCACATAAAAAGGCATTATCCACGCAAGCCTAGTGATCTGTGTTTGGTCCCTGGAACCCACATAGCGGATGGAGAAAGCATCCACCTCCTGTAAGTCATCCTCTGACCCTGCATACACTAGCCATGACGTAAGCACATGCCACTCAAGGTCCAAAACCAATACATAAAAGTTAAGAGGTTAAGAACATTCCTGCTCTCGAGGAGGATCCAGGTTTAGCTCCTAGCACATGGAGGCTCAAAAACACCCGGAACTGCAGCTCCAGGGGCTCTAACACTCTCTCCCGGCCACCATGGGCACCAGGGATACGAGTGGTGTGTATGCGCGCATGCGTGAAAACACTCGTGCATACAAAATAAAAATGAATCTTCAAAAAAGGTTTGAAGTGAATGAGGTTGGGAGCCTTTCCTCATCGCACTGTCGAGAAGACATACTGCAGATGTCTATAGCTTCTACCCACAAACCTTACTACCACATGAACGGCCGTTATTGAATTAGTGGAGGATAGCTCATTCAAACTGGCATTTG